TACTTTGCCCTCGACGGTGAGGCCGCGGACATGTTTGCTCTTTCTCGTGGGGGCAGATGACGAAGGGTACGACCTGAACAGTCGTAGTATGAGCTTGAGCTTCTTGAGGTAGTCGTCTGGTAGTAAGGCGACGCCTGGGAAGAAGATGCGCAATTCGTAGAACGAGTCGCGATGGGGAGGGGCGACCGTGTTCATCGGGGCGAACCTCGCTAAAACACTGTCAAGTCCCATGTTGCCCTGTAACCTTAGTGTATCGACGCTCGACCTCGAGCGATTGATTGACTGTGTAGAGTCTTGCTAAGGACTTATTCAGAACGAAAAACAGTTAGTAACTGTATCGCTCGTTTCGGTTTTTTTTATCCCACTCCTGGCGGAGGAGGATCTGGGCTAGGAGATACCATGTCTACAAGTTGACTAAAAGTACATAAAAAATCTCAACATGAGATAAAAGTTACGCCCAAAGGGGGGCTCGAACCCCCGACCACACGGTTAAGAGCCGTGCGCTCTACCGACTGAGCTATCCGGGCAACTGTGAAGGGAATACATTTTACATCGGTTAAGAGCCGTGCGCTCTACCGACTGAGCTATCCGGGCAACTGTGAAAGGAAAACACTTTTCAACTGCTTTATGTCGTTACAAAATTTTTCCACCGAAAGGACTTGTGGACTTCCATATATCATTTTATATTTATTATAATTACTCCAGAAGAATAAAACCTTATCTTGATCGTCTGATACCAGGAGAGCTAATGTGTTTCCGATAAGTCTCCATCTAATCGAAAAGTTATCATATTTCAAGGTCACACTTCAGGAATTCCTCAAGGGAGTCTCTATCTTTGGATTAATATGGCAAATTGTATTAACATGCTAGTTTGACGATTGATAACTACAGATAAAGAGATAATTATTATTAAGTGTTGATCATTGATCAGTTATATGACAGGGGGGCAGAAAGTGGGCTGACTAGTTTCCTTTTAAGGGTGAGGAAAATGACCCCAATGAATTTTTCCAAATATTTTTAATAGGGTGCAACTATGAGTTTGGCACACTTTCCCGAGTCCCCCGAAGTGAGGAAAGCCTGAAGTGCTGTTGGGATTGATTGGAGTAAAAGCAGAAGATTGTCGGGCATACTTTCATATATGTCGAATTCAATGCCAATGATCAAATGCTCCAGTGAGACCATTGTTGTTATGGATAATGTGTTTTGATCTAAAAAAGATTCTCTCGAGGAATGGAGAGAACTTTGATATTCTTGTGATGTATCAAACTGATAAAATTATCTGAGGAGAAATGAGGGCAGAGTAGTGTCAAGTTTGTCACTAATAATGGAATGTGTCCTGGTTGGAGAGGTTGATTGAAATCATCACCAAAGGTTAATTGTGTCACTGATGGTGGAATGTGTCCTGGTTGGAGAGGTTGATTGAACACTCGACCAAATGTCAATTGTGTCACTGATGGTGGAATGAGTCCTGGTTGGAGGTGTTGATCAAAAAACACCGGAAGTGTCAAAACTGCAACAGAATGTGGAATAAGACCAGGAAGAAGTTCATATTTGAAAGAAACGCCAAGATCTAGATCGATGACTTGGGAAGGAATTGAACCGACATGAAGAAGATGATCATACCACCCGGAAAGTGTTAAACTTGTCACAGAATGTGGAATGTGGCCAGGAAGAAGTTCACGATTGAATCCTTCACCAAGGAATAAAGTTCTAACTGACGATGGGATGTGTTCAGCTTGAAGAGGTTGATTGAAATATTTAGCCAATTTCAACATGGTGGAATGTGTCCTGTTTGGAGGGGTTGATCAAAGTCACACCCAAGTTCAAGGTGTGTCACTGATAATGGAATGAGACCAACTTGAAGAGGATGATTGAATCTAGGGCCAAACTTCAAGTGTGTCACTGATGATGGAATGAGACCAACTTGAAGAAGAGGTCGCTTATCACGAAATGTAAAGTGTAAAGCTGAAGAAAGAAGGGGACGATTACCGAGTTGAACCTTTTTCCTTTTGGGTTGTTGAGAGGTCTTGAAGCAATTATTCAAACCTGTGATGCTCGTTTGTTGTTGGTATATAGATTTGCTCGTCAAGAGAAAACAGAGTGTATCGATATAATCGAGATAAGAAGTGATTTGACGGAGTATATAAATTGACAGTGATTCCATCGATGATGGCACCTAATTTATCTTTATATATTTATATCACTCCAATCATTACTATGAATGTTGTAAAAAAACTTCATGATGTAGTGTTTTGAACACCTGGATACCTGATTGGCTACTGGTGCCAATGTTCCCTCAATGTCCAAAGCCGCGCGGCAACTGTCTGTGGACAGTTGGGTGATATATTGTCCAGTGGGTTGGCAACATTAATTGGATACTGTCCATATCACTGAATGAGGAGACTTCCACGAGTCATGATCATGGCAGTTAGTGTAAATGGACATAAACTAGTCGACTCATGTTGTAGGGCCCTCGGCGAGGCAAGAGTCGGTCGAGTCCTATACTCATTAATTTGGCAATTACCAAGGTATGCGTTATGTTGACAGGTTATAATAATAGTACTACATGTGATGTGACTTTAATATATAATGTATCTTGCCAACGATCTCAGCAGCAACTGGATGAGACTTGGCTTCATAGAGGTAGGTCTTGCCATCGATATATTCAATTGTGAAGTGCTTTGGCTTCTCTGCCAATGCGACCTTTGCAATATCCTTTATCATTCTTGTTGGCTATAATTGATTGATCGAAAATTAAGAATTAATATAAACGACTGGCAATTACTACCACTACTACTACTTACTCTCTTTGTCTCTTGTTCCTTCTTTAGATTGGGCGACATGTTTGTGATGCGCTCCTTGTCAATGCCAATGATCCTCTCTTGTTTTGAGCCATACTTCTTGAGCTTGACCACCTCGTACTGCTTGTATTGGTAGGCCAAGAGATCGTACCAAAAGATGTCTTCATGATCGCCTGTGTTATCCTCGCCAACCAGCATGGTGCCATCACCGCTCATTGACCTTCTAAGTTTGGACACCAGTACAATCTCCAACGATGTCAGCTTGTCCAGAGTCAACTCGGGGTCAATCACGCTGCCATTCTGCTCAAAGTGATGCTCGGCCATGATGAGCTTTCTCTTTTTGCATGTGTTCATTAGTAGCTCCTTTAGCTTCATGTCGGGCTGATAGGCTACCTTGGTGATGCTCGAGTCTGGCAACGTTATCTTGACCAGTGCGATCGTGTCCAAAGTGCCAACACTGACACGTCGGAGATGGACCTTGTCCTGCGGTACGGCCAGGGAGGTTGGTCGTGGCTGTACACCCGATGAGGAGCGACGTCGCTCAGCCTCGTACTTTTGATTGAGACAGAGAACAAAGACCTCATCCTTGAACTTGTATATCTGCTGATTGGGATCGAGCGTTGGGTAGTCCTCGTCTATCTTGCCGTCGTCGTCGGCAATTCGCAAGAAGTAAGCCTTGGGGTCGGGATAGAGGAGGTTGGTGGAGCTTCCACTGCTGCCAGTGCTTCCAACACTTGTGCCAAGAGTTTGTTGCTGCTGTGGTTGTGGTTGTTGATTCTGCTGCGAGAAGTATGTCTTGAGTGCTGCAGCAATTGATTGGATAACTGTTGCCTTGTCTACGACACGAACTCTTAGCATGCCAATTGATCCAATGCCAGTGTGTATTGACAGTTGCATTCCCATGCCAGGTGGTGGTATCTAGGTAGGTAGAGAGTGAATTAGTAAGTGAATGAGTAAGTGATGGACAAGATATACTTACAATCTCACCATACTCTGCGAATAGGTCCTTCTCACTATCGCTTGGTCTCACGAGTTTGGTAAGGAGGGAGTCGGGAGTGGTGTTTGTGGATGACTTGGACAATGTCTCCTTGACAAACAAGAACACAGGAGTGTTGTTACTGCTAGGGTTTGTGCTGTTGTTACTATTACTATTACTGTTACTATTGTTGTTGTTGCTACTTGTTACACTACTGCCAACATTGTTGGTGGTTGTTCCAGTTGTCTTTATACTATTGTTGTTGTTGTTGTTGATGATGTTCTTGTTGATTGTGTTTGTATTTGTGTTTGAGTTGTTTGTTACACTACTACCTGGATTGTTGTTGTTTGACTTGGCGCTCATCATTGAACCCTTCAATTCACTTGGCTTACTTGATTGTGAAGCTGAGAATGTTACTATCTTACATGTTGGTTTGGTATTATCTTTGTTGTTGTCTTGTGGCTGAGCTTGTTGAGTTTGTTGAACTTGTGTTGTTGTTGTTGTTGTTGTTGGTTGAGTGGATGGAGGAGGCTTTACAGTTGTGTTGTTGTTGTTGATTGTAGAGGATGGAGGTGGTACTGGTGATGTTGTGCCACTACCTCCACCTCCACTACTACTACTATTATTTGTTGTTATTGTTGTTCCAGTTGTTGTAGTAGGTGTCTTATTACCACCTACATAGATCAGATTACTATAATCCTTCTCTAGACTCTTACTATAAGGTATAGATTGATCATTTGTAGAGTCGTCATTTGAGAAGTTATACAATTGTTCTGCAATACTATCTCTCTTTAATGACTCATAGAACATCTGAGTCTTGTATCTAATCTGTTCGACCACTTCATCAATCTCACAGAATACTGCCATCGTGTTCTATTCTAAACTTCTATAAATATCTTCTCTCTCTCTCTCTCTCTCTCTCTATATATATTTATATGTTAATGATTAATACTGATGATGTATAATGTATAAGCAACAACAACAACACTATCGAGTGTCATTCAGTCAGTCAGTCTGTTGTGTGTTTGTTTGAGTGTTGAGTGTTTGGAGTTTCAAGATAGAGTGGTTGTTCTGACTTCAAGACACATTCACACCCACTTCAAGCACCCCAATCTTCAACTCAACTCGACAAAGACATAGACAACAACAATAATAAATTATTAGCAGAAGAAAAGATAAAGTTGTATATCTTTATGTGTAATTGTTATGGAGTGGGGGATGGTTGGTGGTAGGTTGGAGTGGAGGGTAAGATTCCTTTAGAACCAGTGACCACCGTGATGATGACCACCGTGATGATGACCGTGATGACCATGATGACCGTGATGATGATGATGACCATGTCCAAGCTCGACGTGGAGAACTGGGGCGCCAATGACTGGTGCTGGGAACACACCTGGTGCACCGTATGGATGAGCGGCGGGGTACACTACTGGAGCGGTATAAGTTGGGGCGACATAGTCGTAATGTCCGTGATGATGGTGATGATGACCCATATTTGATTGATTGATTTAGTTATATATTAAAATAATTAATTATTTGTTAGTTTGTTTGATTGATTGATAATGTATTGTATGATATTGATTTAGAGTTGACCTTGGATGAGTATATATCCTCAACTACGCCATCAATACTTCCATTGATCTTTGGAACTCAAGTGGGAATTGTTTGTGTTGTGCACGGAATCTCACCTCTATTTTGTTGACACAAGGTGACAATGCTCTTGAATTCTTAGGTCACGGACCACACAACATTGTTGATATTATTGTAAATTATCTATTCTCAGTTTAATTCAAATCTTCATAGTCTAGGTGAGGCCAAGAATGTAGAGAGAGAGAGATACTTTATATGATAATATCTATCGGTGTCCAACAGCGAGGGGATATTCATAATGGACATAGTCAAGACAATCCTTGACTACACATTGATCTTTACAAGTACTTGTCATTGCTTTATGCCAACGATAGATTATGACATGAAAAGACAAATATAATTATAATTAGAATGATGATGATGAGGTGACACGTGACAATGAAGTTAGTTGTTAATTAACTTGGAGGAGGACACTAAATTAATTGTTGTTCATTCATTGATTGATTGATTGTCGTTTGGTAGGTCCGACCCGATAAATGACTTTCAGACCCAACAGAATCATTTGGAACCCTGTCAAGTAACCTTTAGGTTGGCACTAGCATCACCAAAAGTCGCAACAACTATAAATACATGATAAGTCCCAACACTTACTCATCATTCTATTCATTCAAAGTAGTAAGTATAGATTGGATAAGGAAGCATGGATAAGAAGAAGAACATGGAGATGGTTGGTGCGGTGTATGAGCTGGTGTCTGGATTCACGAGAACAAAGGCATTGAATGCTGCTGCCAGTTTGAACATTGCCCAACATATTGGAGAGAATGAGAAGAAGTCTGTCAATGATATTGCCAAGGAGATAGGTGCCAACAGTCAATCACTCTATCGCTTGATGAGAGCACTCACTCATATGAAGTGTTTCCGTGAGGAGGATGTTGATGAACATCAACAACATGATCAACAACAACATGGTATCTTCTCTCACACTCCATTGTCATTGGCTTTGAGACAGCCTGAAGTAAGGAACATCGCATTGATGCGTGGTGGCTATGGACAGACCCAGGGATGGCAGAACCTGGTGGAGACCATCAAGACTGGTCAGTCAGATGTCAACAAGACACTTGGTTATCCAGATTACTGGGCATTCTTAGAGGAGCACACTGATGAGGCTGCCATATTCAACAACTCCCTGGCATCAGTGACCAACATGTTAACTCCTACCCTTGTCTCTTTGGGTGACTACACCAAGTTTGAGACTGTTGTCGACCTTGGAGGTGGACTTGGAAAGTGAGTTTCCCATATCTCAATCACTCAATCAATCAAACTAACATCATATCATACAATAGATTGTTAAAGGGAGTATTGAAACAGAATGCCAACATCAAGAATGGTATCAACTTTGATATACCATCAGTGATCGAGAAGAATCAACATGAGGTAGATGTTGACCCTCGTTATAAAGATCAAGCTGGTGACTTCTTTGTAGAGGTACCTGCTGCAGATTGTTACGTACTCAAGAGTATCCTACATGATTGGAGTGATGCCAAGTGTCTGGAGATATTCAAGACCATCTCAAAGTCAATCAAACCAGGTGGCAAGGTCTATGTATACGATTACATCAACTCACTCTACACCAAGAATGAGAAGAACTTCACTCCATGGAATGACCTTCGTAAGTAATAGTGTAGACGATGTATTGAATATTTAACTTACACTCAATCAATCAATAGACATGATGGTGATGTTGAATGGCAAGGAGAGGAATGAATGGGATTGGCAATACTTGGCTGAACATTCTGGATTCAAGATTGAGTCTGTCAAGAGACCAGAGGGACAGGGCTTTGCTCCTCCCTTGACAATATTCACCAAGCAATAACATACAAAACAATAACACAATTGGAACAACATACATGAAAGTATTGAGGGAGGGAGGGATATATATATTGTTGTTGTTGTTGTCGTTGAACATCAAGCCTTGATGTTTCTTATCTTATGTATCCCACATGTGGATTACACCATTGCTGGTTCCAGTGAGGATGGTCGTCTTGCCACTCTGAGAAACATTGATCGATTGGATGGGTTCATCATTGACAGACGAGAAGTCCTTGAGCTCGGTGCCACTGGCCAGCGACCAGAGACGTAGTCCTCGCTCGCATCCCACCAACATGGACGAGCCGTCCGTGTCGAGACAGTTGATCTGATCGTCGATGAAGCCGCTAAAGATCTCGGAGCCCTCAACGCCAATCATTCGGAGACTGCCGTCGCTGCACGAGACGATGTAACGCTGGCCGTCGGGTGTGAAGCGCACACAGGTGACGGCGCCAGAGTATGAGTGGATCTTGCTGATCAGGCTCAGCTGGCGCAGGTCGTACAGGAAGATGGTGCCGTCTTCCGCGCCGGCAATGCACATCTGTCCGTTGGGACTGATGTCAATTGAACGAATCTCGGACTCGGCGTCGATAAAGTCCGCCACTGGCACCTTGCCAATGCTGATGCCCACTGACGATGGCATCACCTTCCACACCTTGATCGTTGAGTCCCAGCTTCCAGACACCAGATACTCATTGTTCATTCGTAAACAAGATACAGCGTCATCATGTCCACTGAGTGTATCCTGTATACTACCATTAGCAACTGAATAAATATATCTATGATTGATCGTGTTGGGTTAGTGATTGATTGGGTCAGTGATGATTGAGTTGATGTCCATACATGTTGTTATCCCATGAACCAATGACAATGTGCTTCTCATCACTTGACAGTTGACAGGATGACAATGCCAGCTCACAAAGGTTGAGTGATCGTATCTGTTTCTTCTCTTGCGATGAGTATATCTTTAGTGAAGCATCCTGTGACACTGAATATATAATGTCACCATTCTCTGAGAGATATAATGATGTCACCTTGCTACAGATTGATGATGATCAGTCAGTATGTGTTACACTTCAAATGCAAACATGATGTAGACTTACTCCTTGTGATTCTTGAATGAATTCTTGAGAGTTAGTCCAGTAAGTGCACCCCAGTTCCTGATGGTCACTGGGGAGGCGGCACGGTTGTTGGACTGTTGATGCTGTGATCCATTGCCGGCAACACCTCCCATGTTCATTTGACCGAATGATTGATTGAGTGTGTCTGACGAAGAGTTTTGTGCTGATCCATTGCCACCGGCACCAAACTGGAATGAACTGGTCGAGCTATTCAGACTGCCACTGTCGTCCACGTTGAATGAGAGGTTGTTGAATGAGCTCTGCGATGACTCACTCATTGTGAGATTATAGTTGCGCATGGCCAGAGGCAGACGCTGTGGATGCGGCGTCTTGAAGAGTTGGCGAGGTGTCTGACCAAACTCATTGATCTGTGCCTCGAGGCCCTGTCGCTCAAAGGGGTCGGTTATAGACTCGATGTCCACACTGCCCTCGTACGTCAAATGATAGAATAGGTTGTTGGCCTTGATCGCTTCGTCTCCCTGTTGTTTGAATCCAAATATCAAGTCGATCCAGTTGTGCAAGTTCTGTGATACATATTCCGATTCCAATGCCTTCCTCATCGTTATAATAAAGTCATTTGGGTCTGAAGCATCGTACGTACATGTTAGAGTCATAGTTCCATCCATCCATCAATCAATCAACTCCAACATAACATACCCTTGGCCCATGGAGGCAATATAACATCATTGATGGCTTTGCCATCTTGTCTAACACCCAGCTGGAGGTGCTCACAGTTCAGCAGGAACTCGCCACGATCTGATGGTTCGTAGAACTCTGGGATCAACTCCTTAACATCTCCCGTGCTATTGTAGACACTGTGCCATGTCTCTTCCAGTGAGTGGAACATTCTGTTTGGTGAGTCGAACCTTCCATTCTGCAGTCTCAACATGTACTCGGGTGCTAAAGTGATTGAACGAGTGAGTAAGAGGAAACACCTGATGGCATAGATGTGTCCGGTGACATCGACTTACCTTGTCGAACGAGGTAGTATAATACATAGGCTGGCGCAGAGTAGTGAGTGCCGTAGAGGAACTTGGGCTGGTTTTCTGGAATGTGATGGTAGCGTTCTTGGAAGGTGGCCAGACGTTGTTTGTTGAGTGCACCAATCGGTTTTGAGAGGTCACGGTAGATGGCTGGGTTGGCCAAATCGAGCTCCTTGCTCGTGTAGTCACTGATCACCCATGGGAACACTGGATACTGCGTCAGATCGTTGTAGGTCCTGCCTGCCAAGCTGTTCAAGTACATCAAGTACTCATAGTTTGATATGATTCCATTCTGCCACTTCAACAAATAGTTCTTCTGTTCATTAATATGAGGTATATTCTTACACAGCTCGCCAGTCATCACATTATAAACCTCATTCCTTATTTGAATACTATTGTTTGATTGATTGAGTGTGTTAGGGATAGTTCCATGATTTGATCGATCGAGGTCAACTTACTTCTTGAATGTGAAGAATATTGATGTCTCATCGTCAAAGAATAGTTCGAGACCAGTCTCGCGAAGGGAGTGACGTCTCTTGAGTATCTTGATGACGCTGTCCAGGTTGAAGTGATTGATTCGTTGCGACTCAATGTTGTTCATTGGTTGGAAGTAGAGTCGTGCGTTGGTCACGAGGAATCTACCGGGGTTCTGTACCAACGGTGATATCTTACAACATTTCGTCTCCAATATATTGCGCTCGTTCATATCGACCAAAAGACTGTAGTCCAGCTGTAGTCTACTCTCACGATCCTCTATCAGACTCTTTATCAATCGCTCGTGGTCCTGTCGATCCTGTCGTGCATACGTCAAGAAGTCCCTCATATTGCCAAGGATCAAGTCGAGATTGACGTAGTTGAGTGAGAACTTGAACATTGCTTTGTTAACCTGTTGTTGTTGTTGTGTGCGTGGAGTGCGTGGCGTGCGTGGCGTGTTAGACAAGACCTGCGACTCAATCACTCAAACAAACATACCTTTTGGAAGAGGTATGGAGCATTGACATTGTTATCCTTCATCTCAATGACTTGATTGGTTTGAATATAGAATAGATCTGTCTTGGCGAGGATTGAGAGTGGATGACGCTTCTGATAGAGGTTGTTGGGATTGGATCCTAGTTGATCAATGTTGACCATCTCTTTGAAGGGGAACTTCATAATTGGGAACTTTATATCATCGGGCTCAAAGAAGATCGAATGTGAGCATACCAATATCCTACCCTTTATCCTCCTATACGTGAGTTCATGAATGAATGATTATAATCAATTGTCAATGAATGTATTCTGTACGATTGATTGATTGATTGAATGATTGATAGCATACTTGGCCCATGACTCTTCGTCTGTGTCTGCAGAGGGATAGTAGACTGCGCTGTAATCATCAAAGTAGTACTCGCCCTCATCCATTAGGATGAGATTGAACCTAAACTTTGGTTTGTTGACAGTAAACATTATATATTGTTGTCGTTGTTGATAGTAAGATGTTGATGTACTACAACACTAACTAACTCCTATTACTACTGAATGAATGTATGAATGAAAGAATGAATTCAACAACCCATTCATTCTTGGGTGGTCGCGTCTCTCTGACAAAACACCAAAACAACAAAAAGACGAATTACCCATCCAGCGACTCATTGATTCTCAGATGAATCAGATCAATCATTCCTCTTTTAATATTGATAGAGCAGAGGTTATCTTTGGAAGGTTAGACTCGGTCATTACATCGAATGAACACTCTCTCTTGATTGTCTCAATAGCATGCTCCTTTGGTATAATCTCTTTCTCCAAACTATACGTGATTAATAGATTGATTGATTGGTTAGTTCACTAATTCAGGAAACAGGTATCCAGTCTGGCTTGACAAACTTACGATATGACATATGATCTTGATGACTCGTTTGGATGCTTTAGGAACTTGTTCAATGAATGATTTGTTTGAAGAATCGTTGGTATTATCAGCTGGTGGATTGTTGTTGTTGAAGTTAGTATGGGTGAGTGAGCTGGATCAATCAATCAATCAATTAATGGAAACATACATTCTGCAATGAACATCTATATATATCGTTGGATATCTTTATCGCTACTGCTCGTAGGTATAATAATGTCCAGTCGTCTAAAGTAATAATGATAGAGGTAAAGGTGAGTGATTGATTGAAAATGAATGAGTGAGAGATGGATTACATACTTGAGAATGGTATCAACTTCCTATCATCCTTGATGATATCTTTGATTGCCATGTGGAACTCCTCGTATGAGAGTGATGGCGTCTGCTCTTTGAAGATCTGATGCATAAATATACTGGTGTCGATGTTGGATGACATGGTCTGTCCATTCTCTGACAAGAAGAATCGCTCGACGTATACTGGCTGATCACGTGTGTACATCGTCAAGTATCGATTGAGTGCTCCAATCACTATTGTTGGCGTCTGTGTATGCCATCGCCTCTTGATCAGTCTTTGGATAAGTCGTCGATACATTGCATTCCAGTTATCAAACTCCATCACCTGTTCGCGACTGCCCTCCTTCTTGGCATTGACGTTGACGTTGACAATTCCCTCGTGGCTAGTCTTAAAGTGCGCCTTGAGCACCGAGGTCTGGTGCTGGAGGTGATGGAAGATGTTGTCGCTGGCGCTCTGCGCCGTGCTGATCAGGGGCAGCCACTCTTGGCTGTAGTGTGAATGATTGATTGGGTGGATGGTGTTGGAGATCTTGATGGGGATTGGGTGCGAGAGGAAGCGCGTCAGCTCCTTGAACTGCGCGAGGTACTCTGTGTCGGAGTACCGCTTGATGGCGGGCAGACTGGGCATCTCCTTGGGCTTGAACACCTCGGTGAACGCCTGCTCCAGTGCCTTGTACAGCTCATTCTCCAGTGCCTTCTTGATGTAAAGGTTCATTCCAACTGATTCACTCGAGTTGGGATGTGTCAACTGTTTGAGTAGCGTGCTTGGCTTTGATGTCGATATGTTTGTAATCATTGTAAGAACACTCAGCGTCCTCTTGTGGAGCTGCTTAACGCTGTTCTGAATATAATTCAATATCTGTTCCCTATTGTTCTTGATATATATCTAATTATGTTTGATTGATTGAATGAGTGAGTGGAATTATTCCAGATGGTCGATCAAACAACAAACATACTGAGAATATCTTGTTCCAACATTCCTTTGGACCAGAGTTGACTGTGCAATTGTAGACCGTCTGGATTTCATCGCGTATACTTTGATTGAGTGTGTTGATGTCGATGGGCAGACCCATCTCAGTGTCCTTCCTGCCACGGAATCCAATCCATCCGTGAAAGAGATGCATCTTGCGATTGGATATGATCTCAGCCGACTGCTTTGGCTCGAGATAAAAGTTGTCCAGCTTGGTGAGAATGCCAAATGTTGACTTTGTGAATGGGTCAATGCGCATCGTGACTGTCTTGTCGCCCTCGGCCATCTCTGAGCCACGGTAGATCTCCTGGCAATGCGCGACCATCTGCAATGACGGGTCGACGGCAGCATAGAGTGTCTGTGCTCGCTGGACGATCAGTGGGGACAAGTCGCCATACTCTGCCTTGTAGCTGATTGACGGCAGATCGATCAGACGAACGTTGTGCAGGTGTGGCGAGGCGACGATGATCTCGAGAGGCTGCTCTAGGATGGCCTCACGCGGACCCCAGTGCTGGCACATCTCGCCCATCTTCTTGGCAAAGAGCACGGGGTCGTAGAAGCGTCCACCGTTGCCCCAGCCGCCCTGCACAAACTCAAAGTAGGACTCGCCAGTGGTGCGCACGCACTCGATTGATATGATACGCCATCGGTTGCGAGACATGGACAGCAGATCAAATCCAATGAGTTCGTCAATGATTGAGCTCTTTCCACAGCCCTCGTAGCCGACAAAGAAGACGCTGCCCATCGATCCTGGCAGCTCATTGTGGTTGAGCACTTGATACAGCGACTCGATCACTGTTGTGCTGCTGCGCTCGTCAAAGGGTGGCGCATCGGTCTGCGACGTATGGCGCATCATCTTTACAAAAAGATCGCGCTGCTCGTCCATTGGCACCTTCTCCTCCGCCATGCCCATGCGCTCCGTCATTGACTTGTGCGCGAGGAAATGATTGGTCACAGTAGACTTGCCCAACTTATTTGATCGTGATTGCTTTGAAGCAACATTCTCCTTCTTTAACAAGTTGTTATACACCTTGTAATCGCTATGTTCCTTTATCGTCTGTTCATCCACTGTCGTATCAGATGTAATGCTTGTGGCACGACTCTTTCGTTCCTTTGTCCTCTTTGATTGTAGTTGTGATTGTGATTGTGAATGTGCCTGTGACTGTGCTTGTGACTGTGATTGTGATTTTGATGGTCTTCCTCTGCCCTTTGAGGAAGTTGTCGATGTTCTTGAACTTGATGTCAAAGTAGATGTCGATGTCGATGTCAATGTCGTCGATGATGATGGCGACAAAGATGTTGTGGAGTATCCATTATATTGTTGTTGTTGTTTGAGTATATTATTGACCAAGCCAATTCTACTTGATGATTGATGATGCCTTGATAGCGAGAGAAGGTCAGCGTGTAGACTCTTGCACACTTGAATAGATGATGTTCTCAGCATCTTTGTCCAAGCCAAGTTGATCCAATCCTATCCTCCGCTACTAGTAATACAACAACTACAACTACTAATACTGCTACTTTGTGAGTGAAATGTAATTATGATGCTGTTGTTGAAGTTGGAGCATTGTCAAAGTCATTAGTGGGCATTCAGGTATCGGGCGAGGTGTCTCCAGCCCCACTCGCCTGTTTCGCTTTTCTCGTTTCAAAGTCTTTCAAACCCAAAAAGAGAGCGAGTCAACTTGAATGAATGCATGATTTGAGATCTTATGTATTAATCTAATTGCGCACTTAACTTATAAATAATAATAATAATATATATATATATACACATATAATGGATACTACTACTACATCGACAACGACGACAGAAGTTGCACAAAGTCCCGATGTTTTAATAACAACAACAACACAACAACAGTGGCCAGCGGTAAAGCCACTTGAGAGACCTTTGATGTTTGCTTTCCAGATGGAGGACCCACAGCCAATCAAGTACCCATGTCTAAGATGCGACTTTGTAGTGTTTGACTCAAGAGCGATTCTCGAACATCTATTGCAAGAGCACAAGTTGGTCATTGGAGATGTGAACTCTGTGGCCAACTTGTCATCATACCTCGAGCATTGGCGCAATGTGATGCGTGGCAAGCCCATCGAAGATTACACCACTAGCATCAACGATAAGCACACGGACAAGCCCGACGAGATGTACTATCTGTTGAGCGATATCCTGCCTGAGGACCAGGAGCTGCGTCGCATGCTGCAGACCGAGCGTCTGATCTTCATTCTGGAGCAGCAGCACCGCGAGCGCTCTGATCAGCACTTTAGCAGCGTGTGTCCAATGTGCCCGGTCGAGTTCCGCGGTGACCGCGCTGCCGTCTCGACGCACATGTTTGAGACGCATAACTTTAACATTGGTCTGCCCGACAACTTGGTCAACATCAACGAGCTGCTCGACCTGCTGCGCACCAAGTACGACGCCAACCAGTGTCTGTTCTGCGAGAAGACGTTCAAGAGCCAGGTGGTGCTCAAAATGCACATGAAGAAGAAGAAGCACTGTCGTCTGAATCCCAACAACACCGAGTACGACCGCTTCTACCTGCTCAACTACATGGAGCCCGGCAAGAACTGGGAGGAGCTAAAGAAGGAGGAGGAGGAGGACAGCTCGGGCGAGCAGACCCCCAACAACCTCGACCTCGTCAAGCAGGTTGAGAGCGAGGGACACGTGTCCACTCAATGGGACGACTGGACAGAGGACAAAGACGAAGACCAAGAAGAGACCGTCGTCTGTCTCTTCTGTCCCAACGAGTTTGATGGCGCAGATCTTGTATTCCAACACATGGTCAATGTACATAACTTTGATTTCCACGTCATCCGAAAGGAATGGAGTAAGTGTAGTCGTGGCGTTGAAAGATTGGAGTGAGTGTAGCCAGAACTAACACAACACAATTCTAATACTACTCCTTTAGAGCTGGACTACTATGATACAATCAAGATGCTCAACTTCATTCGCAGACATCAATATGAGATGAATTGCTGTCATTGTGGATCGGCGTTTGAGAGTGATGACTCGTTGGAGAAGCATCAGAAGGATGCTGGACACTGTGGCGTCATGCGCCAATTGGATATCTGGCGTGATGCTCAATATTTGCTGCCAACCTACGAGAACGACAGTCTGCTTCGTTCATTCGAGGACTTTGACGACAACGAGGACAAAGAGTACGAGTGCAGTGAGCAACAATACAGGGAGGAGTTGCTTGGATCTCTTAAGCAAGAGAGAGACGAGGTCCTTGTGCGTCTGGGCGATGTCAACCTTCGCATCTAAGCGCGTATTACAGTCAATACAATAAACAAATAAATATCTTGGAGAGATAACAGAATAAATATTTTAATGTTGTCTTTGCAGCAGTGTCCACGCGCGATGAACAAGTCACTGGATCAACACTCGAATGTGAGACACATTCGCCGGCGAATAATAGACATCAGTCGAGTGTTTATTGACCAGACTGGTCATCCTTGGTGCATTATTACTCGCCAGCGCAAGGATGATGAGCACATGATCGGTAAGATTGTCGAAAAGTATGTTCGCTCCTCAGCGGACCATCATCCATCTGATGTATGTTGGACATGTCTAGCAAAGGTAGCGGAAGAATCTTTTGTTGGACTTCGATTGGAATTCTTATCAATCTGGTGCGTGGTTGTATCAAAGTGAATGGTTGGTGCGGGGGGTCATGAAAGGGGTGTCGCGCGACCCTCATGTTGGGTCAGGTGTTATGAACGTGAGCTTGTTTCGGTCTTTTGCGATGCTATCTTTGTCGACTACTTGGTGAAGCCCATTTCCCGAACAGAAAATAAGACGGATTATTGAAGACCCTCTGCGGGCATTGAGCCTCCTATTGACATTTTGCGGGCCAAATTAATACAATTCACCGAAGTTGATGAAAGTGTGGGCTGTTTGCTATGTCGGGACCTTGCCTGCACAAGCATGTCCAGCGAGGTCCCGAGGGTAGTCGATTCACTCATCATTCATTTGTTAATTTTACATACATCCTGGGTAGATGATTAATACCAATCAAATCTATCAGCATGTACAGTGTTAGGATGATGTAGCTGGGCACCGGGCCAATGGGGCACAGACAATCAGCTTCAATTAACCCTCAAACCATGCAAGGGGTTCCTAAGCCGGGACAGGCAAGCAAGCGACCACAAGATCCATCACCCCCAAAGTGATGCGTGATTGGGTTGGGTCATCGATGCGAAAGCTTGTGGAACATGGATGTCACCTCCACAGCTCAAAAAGTGAGTGTCCAGATGGACCAAACTAAAGTTTAAAGACCATTCAGGTTAGCTTAATTGAATGGTCATTCATGATTCTACATTAGGTCAAAGGAGGGAATATTAAGGAGTGACTTTCGTTGGACAGCCATCGCTCATCTTCCCCAAACCCAGGGATTCTCTTTCTAATCATCATCCAGCAATAACAAACATCTTTTACTTATATTATAATATTGTCAAAAAACAAACAAACATACATCAACATCAACATCAACATCAGCTTAGAGTTTCCCTCATAATAAATAATTACGCTCCATTGAAACATATACACAACAACAGGTAATGACAATGATGATGACGATGACATTCGCATGGGGTAACAACTGCAACCCCACTACAACATGTGGACATTCAGGAATATCCCTGATATGGCCATCAAAATGACCAATCTTACCAACTTACCAACACTCTTCACACAAACATACAACACGCACAGCCATCCAGCAGTACATACATACTTTCCGCAATAGTAGTAGTAGCAGTAATATTTCCCCTGTTTATTTGACGCATAAGGTAAGTCAACAAACATCAATCAATCTACCAACATATCATATATGGTTGTTGTTGACAATGTTTGTTGTCAATGTTGTTGTTGTTGTTGTCGAGTATACACCAATCACTATATCTACTCTTATAACCGTCCAAGCGACGACCAACCAACCAACCAAACACATCCACTCTATTGTCATTGTTTCGGTGAATGAATGTTATATATATCCTTTCCCCGATCAAAGGATCAAAGGAGGACTTACACGAACATTGTTGTCTGTTTGTTTGTGCACGGTGTCAACATCTTTGATGTTCTACAAGCCCCCTGGGCCTACTATCTAGGGATGTACAACGCACTGACACAAAGGAGCAAAGATACAACCTCGCTCACTGCTGTTTGCGATTGGATATAGACAAATGCCATCACACATCATCACAACCTTCCCTTCCTTTTCCCCCATACATACAATACGTTTCGATTCATTCGCCATATCTATCCATCCCGCCAACCAACCAACCAAACGACCAAACACCACGCACGTTCGATGCACAACTTGATCGACTGGCTTTGCTTCACCATCAAAAACCGGCTCACGCTCGGTCCACACAACTGCCTGGACTGCTGAAGGAACGGCTTCTTTTGTTTTTCAAAGTCACAAAACGCTCGCCCAATCCCGGCCCCGCTAGTCCCTATCAAAATGTGATTGGGCACTTGCTTGGACGGACTGTACTTTTTGGACGGGCATGGGTCTTAATGTGCCCGGTGCGTGGTGCTTGACCAGCGTCTTCAGGGGCCGATCGTTGTTGCTGAAGGAAAATAGCAGCAAGTTGCCATCGTCACCCTTGGTCGGTGATCCTATTTTAATTCTTAATTAATGTTTGCATTGTGGACTGGGTTTATTTTTGGTCGTCGATAAGGGATACCATCAACAGCTTTAGGTGTGTGTGTTCCTCGACACGTCCAACAAGACGACCAAATCAACAATCACCTCAAACCAACCACGCATGTGTGTATCCAACTCCCAAAGTATCAACCCCTCATCTCATTCATACATTCCTCCTTTCCTTCCTTTCTTCTTCTTCTACTTCTTCATTAACATTGATCCATCCATCCTGTACTCGACCAATATTCTTGTTATAACAACAACAAACACAACAAACAACAATCAACATCGACTTCTTGATCGTCGTCGACAACCAACGTCATCAGCAGAAACAAAACCAAAGTATGTAAGTCTTCCTTCACTTCATTTCATTTTCTCCATCCATATCCACAAATCAATTCCAATCACTATGCACTACAACCGCCATCCAATCACCAGATGGATCTGATCCATCGCGTAACTCTTGTATTTGTGTCCTTTGGACATCCACAACCAAACAAACAAGCAAACAACCAACCAACAAACCAACCAACCAACGTGATCGTTAAAGTTGTTTTTTGTTCATGGTTCCAATATCACACCTCACTCAACAACAACAGTAATCTTTCGATCAACCACCTCATCAACCTTCCTTCTTATGTTGTTGATGTTAGATGTTGTTCGTTGGTCCATCCATCCATCCAATCCAATCACATCTCCAGTGTTGGCCTCAAACACACACAAACACTGTTGTGTATTCGATCACAACACCTATCTCACACAAATATTTGTGTTTTGTGTGTGTTGAAGCTGATTGGTGATTGTCGACAACTCACTTGTGTGCATGTGTGTCGGTTTAATCTCACCCCTTTGTGCTACGCTTGGACGGGCAGCGCGTGGCACCCCCCGCAGGGAAAAGACAGCCAGCCTACCTGGCCCATCCATCCTACCAGTCCCATCCATCACCATATGGCCGGTGGCATTTGGACGGTCCAGTGCGCTCACTGGTCACACCATCATCGATGCTGCTTCACATCAACCCTCACGCCCATCCGGCACGTTCCTTTGCGCCGCAGAAAACACACAAATGAGGGGGTGATTGAAGGATTGATGGCCAGCTGGCTCACTGATGGAGACAGACATACAGCGATGTCGCTGGATGGATGGCTGGTCTGCCATTTATGTAGCGCTGCAACCTTATTTGTGGCCCAGACAGTTCCATTTCAACCTTTGTGACCTCGTGTGTATCTATCTGTATTCTATTCTATTCTATTAATTATATATACTTGTATTATTACTTCTACTTATTCAAGAGCCACAACAATAATTCCATTCTTTCAATCAATCCAATCAATCAATTATCCCATCTATTCCATCCATCCATCCATCCATCATCATTTTCCCTCCATTTCCCTGCTTGTATAACATCTTAAAATATTATTATTATTTAAATACTCAATCGTACATTGTATTAATATAACCAATCAATCAATCAATCAATCAAATAGACACCAAAGTACAAAACACTAATTATATATATTACTTATACAAATACATTATATACATAATAATAATATAATATTTATATTACATCTTCATACATACTACTTTAACGATGACCATGGTAGTTGATCGAATGAAGATTGGATTCATGGTAGGAGGTGGTGAAGCCGGAAGTGTCCACGACAGACATTTGTTGCCGCCAACAAAAATTACAGACAACAACAACATGTCTCAACAACAACAACAACAACAACATAGACATTTCAACACAATTAAAGTACCATCACTTAATATCCACAACAACACCAGTAGCAGCAACAGCAATCCTTCATCCTTAACAACTACACCTACGATTGGTAGTACATCAACAACATCCTCTCCCTCCATCTACTCCCTGTCATCACTGTCATCATTATCATCATTATCATCCATCAACAACAACAACAACAACAACAACAAACCAACTCAGAGTTCAATAATAGACTCAAGTTACCAACAACAGTTTTCCTCTCCATCTTCCGCTTCTTCCTCCCCCGCACCTACACCATCTCTCCTCAACCTCAATCCACTGCACAACATAATCTCATTCAAGAGCTATGACAATGTCAACAACAACAATAGACAAGCATCATCCAACCCATTTACACACAACAACAACAATGAACACAACGGCTTTCTGCCTGCACGCATGACAAAGTCTGACTCAATCGAGGAGGACTTATACAAGAAGAGACCCTTCCAATACAATGGCAATGGTAGCAACTACTCCTACAATACAACAACCAACAACAACAACAACAACAACAGACAGTTCTCCCCTTCAAATTCACCAAAGCATGATTCCCTTCGTACTACACCATCGGGCTCCTCATTGAACACTTCTCCCTTCTTGTCGCCACAGTCGTCAGAGATGATGTTCATGAACAACAACTACGATGATTACCCTTCGTCGCCATCGGGCTCTGAATCACCACGCTCTGGAGACGAGTTTGGAAACAATGTCCGCTCGCTTGCCTGCGACAGACATAGCAAGTGGAAGAAGAAGTGTCCAGACACCTGCAGCGATCGCACCTCACCTGTTGAGTTCCACCCACCAACTCGCAAGTTGTGGTCGCAGGAAGAGTGCTGTCAGCTCCTGGAGATGGTCTTCCAACAGGACCCGCACTCGGTCAGTCCACGCGAGAGCGAGCTGCGATGGAGAGCAATCTCCAACTCTCTGGGGCGCACGGTGACCTCCACTCGCAAGAAGTACATGCGTCTGGTGAACAAGTGGTCCCCAAGACCAATGACGTCGTCTGTCCATCCCATATCCAAGTTGATCGAGAACAATGAGAAGAAGCGCAGGGCCGAGAATGCCGACCTGCCCATTCCCTCCTACGCACCCCCACCAATGAAGGAGCAGAAGCTGGTGCACCCAACTCCCATACAGCCTGCAGCACAGTTGCCATCTACCGGTACCTCATCCTACGGTATTGGCGGCCATCATGGCAATTACAGCATCAACAACTCAATCGACATGACCATGTCCAACTATCTCAACCAACATCACCATTTGCCCTTCCCTTCCTACGCTGCCAAGAAGGCGGACCAGCAAGCCAACTCATCTGCCTCCAACCTTTTGTTGAACATGAACAGCAACAACAACAACAACAACAAACTTGGCCACAATGATCATCCAAATAACCCATTCAAGTCATTGGGAGAGGGATCTATCGCATCGCCAGCGCCACGTCGCGTCAAGAAGCCGATTGGACGCCCACCCGAGGCCTGCGAGCAACATCGCAGCGAGCACCAAAAGTGCCCCAAGGGATGTCCATTCCGTCCCAACTTGGCAGCCGGCATCATCAGCAAGTGAGCAACAAAAGGCTCTTCTACCCCCCTCCTCCAACCAGGACAGCTCTCCGACCGACAGCTGCGCCTCACGACGAACTCTTAATAATTAAATGATTTGTCTTTATCTCTCTCTACTACCATATGATTTGAGTAACTTTTGACTGGAATGGGCAGGCAATCGCCTTGGAGAACTTTGGTAAATAATAGTTAGCTTGCACATGATCTATCTTCATCAATTATATTAATATAGTTTATTTGTAATAAAGAGATAATAACAGCAACTCTATCACAGTGTATACACTTACTTGTAAACACTTCCAGAGAACTTGAAATTGAACGGAATGGATACACTGTCTCATTATCCTCTCAAACAGATAGTATCATCGCTGAACAACATTGACCAGATAAGTTTATCACTCACATGCAAGACACTATTTGGTGTGAAAGACCTCATACTTTGTGCTTCAAGCATATAACAACATCAAAGAAAACCTGTCGAATATTTTGTCACTATCAATAAAGTACTTGGAAGCTTGTAGCAATTGTCTGTTGTATTGGTCTTTCAAAAGTTGGGAAAATGTAATCCAAAGTTGCCTGACCATTTGGACAATAACATCGTTCATTCCCTCTATCAACCAAACAAATATTACAAGTCGAGCGCTTGCTCCATTCAAACATGTTGGGTGGTTTAATCTCTACACTAGTGGTTGTTGAGTGATGGGTGATCACTTTCGTGTGTTTGGCGCCATCCTCTCCCATTCCTTCCTGACATAATCGATGAATGTCATGCAAGGTTCGGAGAAGTAGTCCTTGTCGAATACCATACAATGAGGGTTGTGCTTCGCCATCTTGTTTGCCCTATCCTGGCACTCAAAGAAGTTGAATAGATCTTCAGACTCTCGCAAAAAGCTTGACAGTCGGTGATTGCTGTTGCCACCAGTGCCTCCAGTGCCAGTGCTACTGTTACCGCCGCCAGAGGTGTCACGTGGTGAGGGCAGTGGAGAAGAGGGTCCAGTGGTGGGAGTAAGAGGTATTTGAGAGGAGGTACCAGAGTGGCTGACCTCCATTGATGAGGATGATGAAGAATGTGACGAATGTGTCTTGTTTGGTACAGAGTATTGATGCATTAGATCCCTCCTTGAGTGCTTAAGATGTTCTTTCTTCAGATTGAACGACTTGGCATAGCAGAAGGATGCACATTTCAAACTGTACAAAGGAATGTTGGTCAGAATGCGATGTACTTTGCGTCAGCCTGTGCCCTAATGAGATACATACAAGTATGATGCGCTTGCTTCCAATTTGAAACCGATGGCAATGTTGGCAATACCATCAAAGAATGATCCAATAGATGAAAAGTAGGCATAGGTCTTTGTCAAGTCGTCGATGGACTGATGGAGTGACGTGTGATTGATTGAGTGAGTGATTGATTGATTCCTGAATGGAGTGGCAACAAGTTGATACATACTGTCATAAGATGAGCAATGAGAATATACTTGAGACCAATCTGAAGGAAGAGTACCAAACATTCTGTTTCGCCAAACTGATGTAACTGTTGTGCAGAGGTCTTGAGATCTTTTGATTCGTTCTTGAGTCGATTGATGTCGTTTCGATGTGACTTCTCCTCCTCTTTACTCAGCTTGATGGGTACCACGGCCGTCTCCTCCATGGCCAGCGTGTCCAGCGTCTCCAAAAACTCGCGTCTATGTTGTTGAGCTGCGCTGGACAGTCTGTCCCTCGACTTCTCCTTGTCTCTTCCTCGCTCCTTGTCCTTGTCTCTGCTGTTCCTTGGCTTGTCCTTGTCCCTCTCTCTATCTCTATCTCTGTCGCGATCTCTCTCCCTTTCCTTCTCCCTCTCCTTCTCTCTTTCTCTCTCTCTGTCTCTGTCTCTGTCGCGATCTCTTCCACCACCACCGCCACCGCTTCCACGCTCCCTGTCTCTCTCCCTATCTCTCTCGCGTTCACGTTCTCTGTCACGCTCCCTCTCTCTGTCTCTATCTCTGTCGCGATCTCTATCTGATGATGGTTTCTCCTTGTCCTTGTATCTTCCATCTCTACTATCTCTGTCGTCGGCTCGCTTGCCCTTGTCCCTGCCATTGCGACTGGATGACCGTCGTCTAATGCCATTCTCCATCTCGATGTTCTTCTTCTCCTCCTCGGTCACGGCGAATGGATTGGAGGGTGGTGAATAGTGAGCCACCTCCTTCTTCTTTGAAGACGCGTTCGTTGGTGTTGACTCGCTTCTCCTATCCTTCTCCTTATCTCTCTCACGCTCTCTATTATCTCTGTCGCCTCTATCTCTGTCACCTCTATCTTTGTTGTCCTTGTCTTTGTCCTTGTTGTTGAAGCTTCCTTCCCTTTCCACTGCCTTCTTCTCTTTGCTTCCTCTGCTGCCGTCTCTCTCCTTGTCCTTCTCTCTATCTTTGTCCTTGTCTCTGTCTCTATCTCTGTCCCTGTCCTTTAGAGATCCACCTGCAGGCTCAATATCCATATCTGATTGCGTACTACTACTACTACTCCCACTCTTTGTCTTGTGTTTGGTGGATGGGGAGTCAGTGGCGATGCTGGTGCCGTCGATGGTTTTGAGCTTCTTGTTGGCTCTGCTGCTGCTACTACTACTGGACTCCTTGTCATCCCTGGTCGGCTCCTTAGGTTTGGCTGATGTATTCTCGTTGATGGCTCTGTCACCAAACAGGTCATCTTCATCCTCTTCACCCTCATCACTTCCAGTGTCCAAATTAATGCTATTGTTGGCTGAACGTGTTGATGGTTGGTCGTCCTGAGGCAGTGCTCTCTTCTTTGTTGTGCTATTGTTGTTGTTATTGTTGTCATGGTCCTTCTTTTCAGGTGTTGTTGCTTGTTGTTGTTTCTGAGGTGTTGGTCTTTGTACATTGCTCGATGATGATGATGGTGTTGTTGTTACTTTGGTTGATTGTGCTGCTTCGGATGGTGTTGTGGTCGCGGACGGTGTGGTGGTAGTAGTTGAGGAAGATGATGTGGACTGTCCTGCAGCGGCGCCAACAATATTCTTACGCTCAAGCTTGATTGTAAGTTTCAAGCCCTTCTTGGACTCCTCCTTTGTTGATGTTGATGTTGTTGACGTTGATGCTGATGTTGTGTTGGGTTGCTGCTTGATTGTTTCGTTTGTGGATTCATGTGTCGTCTTGGCCTTTGTTGGTGTCTTGTCACTTGTTGTTGAGGTAGATGATCCGGTAGTCGTCGAAGTGCTTTCAGGCACTGTGGAAGCAACAGTAGCAGCTGATCGCTTGTTGGTGTATGGTTCATCGATGACCTGCTTCGATTTGGCTGCGATCGAATGATTGGGCTTGTGCGGCGGCGGTGGAGAGTTTGGCTCATCTTCATCCATGTTGTTGCTGTTGTATATCGTCTCGCTGGAACCACTGTCATTGATTGGGGAGAGCATTGGCCCGATTGGACTGGTCATAATCTTGAGGATTGATGACACGGTCATTGCCGGGGTCCGCTTGGTGTTGGCGTGTCCGCCGCCACCTCCATGCTTCCTGTGCTGTTGTAGTTGTGACTGTCTTTCGCTCGCTGCGCCCTCCTGTTTAATCGTGATTTGAACTGGTGTCCTATACTCGCTGTTGTTGTTGTTTGTGTTGGTTAGTTCGTGTGCAAGAATATGCATATCGACATGTTAATTAACCAACTTTTTAGGCCTGGCCTTGTGATGTCCATTGCTGTTGCTACTGCTGCTGTTGCCGCCACTATGGGAGTTACTGTTGGCACCAATGTTGTTGATTGGCGGATTGCTGATAAGGTCCAGGAATGACACGTACATGCCAGTTTGATCGACACTGTTGAACTTGTCCTTCAGTCTTGACACGATCAGGTCGATGTGTGACTTCTCTTCGCCCTCCTCCATTTCATCATCCTCATCTCCTTGTTGCTGCTGTTGTGATGACGATGTTTGCGTACTATCTTGTTGTTGTTGTTGGGAATTCGTTGAGGAGTATGGGGCCATGACCACATCCTCTACATCCATATCGTCTACATTCGATTGATTGATTGATGCAGCTGCGGCAGCCGCCGTCGCAGCAGCTGCCGATGTAGTATGTCTAACGCTGTTCATCATTACTATCATTCATTCATATATATCTGTCTCTGGTCCTGGTCTTGAGTTGTTTTAATTGATTGATTGATCGATTGATCGATTGATCGAGTATGATGATTGATTGATTGATTGACCCTGTTCGAATCTGAATGAAGTTATTTACAAAAGGTCTTTGTTGTTGTTAGTGTAATGTATTAGTAATCTTAGATAGTCAAAATAATGCAGGGGATATCGGTGACTTACATCTCACCACCAATTACATTGACATTACACAACCCCTATCTATATATCCATATATATAACTGATCTGTATCTTTATAGTTTGTGTTATTTATATATATCTCTTTTACTAAATATATCTGTCAATGAGGTAATGAAAAAGCATGTGATCACAAAGTTTGTGTTCACAACAAACACACAATGTGGGGAGTGTGTTGTGTGGGCTTACAAACCCAATGGTTGTTGTTCATGCCTAATGAGGTGATACAGATCAAGAACAAGAAATGAATGACATGTCTTTTATAACTACTCATTCAATTATTTGTTTCAATCCCAAGAAAATATACATACAAATATATACATTTTATAAATATGGAGAGTGTTTATTGATGACTAATAAGCGATGACATCATACACCACACACAAAAAAAGAGTAACATTGTCTTAACAATGTCAGTCTACTACTATCTACTTGGTAAAAATGACAAGGGATGTCATGTTCTCCTTTGGAGCGCGCTGAACACGCTCAATCTTCAATCCGGTCTCCACAGAGATATGCTCCCAGTTGGCCAGAGTTCTCTCCTTGCCGTTGCACAGTTGCAGCATGTTCAAGTCCATCCAGACAACACTTGAAAGATTCTCGTTCTTCTCATTGCTGAGCAAGAAGTCGTAGACGTAGATCTTGGCACCGGGCTTCATGGCACTGGCAATAGACTTGAGGATCTTGACTGAGCACTCATCGTTCCAGTCGTGAAGGGTGTTCTTGAGTACGTAGCAGTCGGCTGCTGGCACCTCCTTGAAGAAATCACCTCCAACCTCCTTGAATCTTGGATCCAACTGCTTGTTGCGAGCCTCGTTAAGCTTGTTCTTCTCAATGACGGTTGGAAGGTCAAAGTTGATTCCCTCCTTGATGGTTGGGTTGGCGCGGAGGATGGCCGAGATGAAGGTTCCTTGTGATCCACCAAGATCGCAAACAGTGTCAAATTTGGTAAAGTCACTCTGGGCAACGAGCATTGGTGTCAACTTGTTGGTCAGGGCAGACATGGCCTTGCCAAAGACCATCTCGTCCTCAGGACGGGTCTTGAGGAACTGCCAAATGGTTGGGATGCCTCCGAGGACTTCAGTCAGATCAGACTTTCCACGCTTGACAGTCTCTGGGAACACTTCCCAGGCACGGTAGTTGCATGAGAGTCCTGTCATCATGACGAGGTCACGGAAGTTGTCCTGGGCCAAAGCGGTGGACAGACGAGTGTTCTCAAAGACACGGCTTTCCTCGGTCTCCTTGAATATTCCAATCTGGCTGAGTGCACGCATCAGTCTGTAGAGACATTCCTCATCACAGCCAACTTCGAGGGCCAGCTTCTCACATGACTTGGGCTCGGCTCCAATTGCAGCGGCAATGTTCAATCTAGCAGCAGCGACCAAAGCACGCGACTTTTGGACTGCGCCACCAGAGAGATCAATCAACTTATGCATAAGCTCAGCCTCCTCTGCTTGCTTCTTCATAACTTCAGGGGTCATTGGCATCATCTTTATATATTTTATGTAGTAAGTATATGATATGTAAGAGTTTGGAATATGAATATGGTATTGGTATTATTATTTATCAACTGTTTGTAGGTATTTATTAATGATTAGATGCCCTGTTGGTCCAAGTATAAATAATGTCCAGGTATCTGATGATTCCGCCACATCAAGCTGACACCATCTAGCCAAGAGTATCAACTTACAATGTGATGATGTTGTACTCGTCTGTGTCATAATAATATGTGTTCCTATCTAGAAACATACCCACCCCTTCCGATGTTGGAATAGTCGTCGACGAGCTTTGGCCCAGGCATCATTATAAGACCATCAAACAAATTGATTGATTGGTCATTTATTCATCATAACATCTACTGTCATGATACATGTTCTGATAAATGTATTACTTATGTTAGCCCAGTCTGACCCTTTCCCTGATGCATTCATCGATCATCATAAGTGGTGTTGTGGTTGTAGTGTGTGTAGCCAAGATTCAGGTGGTTGATCGCCACACTCATCAAGAGTCATCATCTATCACGTTGGTTCATTGGGAAACCCCTTCATTTTGTTTGTGGGGGGTTGGTAACAACAAAAACACACACTCATTCAGAGATGGTCAGTTAATAAATTATTTTGTCTACATCCAGATTCATATCTTTTGACCACCATTAGTAATAATCTTGGACTATGTTGAGAACATGTCAAGGATAGGATGATCTCTTCTCATTCCAGTTTAGTCACAATGTACCTCTCGGACATACATTGGACTTGAAAGGACACACAAAGAGGGAATGACAAAGAGGTTGGTATGATAATTTATCATCCAATGAGAGTCTGTTGAGTTTTTTGTCAGATCGACGCTGGGGCTAACGAATACTTGTATTATTCTTGGCATTGGCAACTTGATTGGTTCGGATATTGATGTGATGATTTGGAACGGTGTTGTTACAATGGACAATCGCAGGAACAAGAGCAGCAGGAGCAACATTCACAGGGAGAACAACATTCACAGCATTCACAACATTCGCAACTTGAACATAATGTGCAGGAATCCAGATTAGAGACTGAGGTATTGGTCGTTGCAACTGTTTTGTCAGATGTTGTGTTTGTTTCCGTTGCCGTTGTTGCAGTAGTAGTTGTCGTTGTTGTTGATTGTGCTTGATCTTTGCTTGAAGTAGATGGAGGAATGACCTCCGTAGTGTTTGAGGTTGGAACAGTCGCGGTGACAACTGTTGTTGTTGCTGTTGCCACAACAGCCTGGGTGACTCCCTGTTGTACATTCATTGCAGGGAAATAGGATTGTAGCAAATTGGTGTATATAGTCTTATCGGTATCTGTAAAGACACAAAACACTATACGGTCCACTCTGTCGGCAGGAGTTCTCTCCAACCATTGTCTGACTGTTCCAATTGCAATATGAGCTGCCTCCACTAGTGGGAATCCATAGACGCCTGTTGCCACACAACATAGTGCCAGGGATCTTAAAGAGCTTGTATCCATATGACCAAGTGTTGTGTGATAGCATGACCTTAGATCATTAGGATCAGAGTTCATTGGACCAACTGTATGTATCTGGAGAGGTGTATTAGTAGGTTCGTCAGTGAGTGTCAACTAGTTAGAGGCTCGAGGGAGATGACATACAATGTGCTTGGATGGGAGTTTGTATCCCTTGGTAATCTTTGATTGACCAGTGTCACAACCATTCAGTTTCTTACACTCATTGTAGAGGTCTCTTCCAGCTGCTCTATGAATTGCACCGTCAACTATTGTTGATGGGGAGATGCAGCGACATGTTTGGAGTTTAGCTCTTTATAACAAGGTCTAAGGATGTGAACACTTACCTCCACCTCCACCCAATAGACTTGAGTTGGCAGCATTCTGAATGGCGTCCACAGCCAAACTAGTAATATCTCCTCTGTTTGTTGTGAGGTTGTTAGTCAACACGATCATCAATACATTGTGTATGAACACATACTGGAAGAGTGATACCTTGTCGTTCAATGAAGCATTTGGAGTGACCACAAAGTGTGGAGCAGATCCTTGTGGTCGACTCTGTGATGTTGTCTTTGGAATCTTTGCCAACTGTTGAGACCAAGTTGGAATATCCTTCAATTCAATTGTTCTTCTATTCATTATTAGTGATGTTAAAGATGCCCTAATCATATAATATACTTAGTTATTACAATAGTGATAGATAGTTATGTTGTTGATTAAAGTACATGAAGAGGTACAAGCAGACTGTCGTGAAAAGAAGACAAATCACTCAAACATTTGAGTTTTGTAGATGCAGTGAAGATCATTGGAAACAAGATAGATATTTAAAAGAGAGTTATACAGAGATGTCATTTACACAAATAGTAGCACGTACACCATGCGAGAACATGGTCAATGGATTGACAACAAGTTCACATCTTGGAAAGCCAGACTTTCAGTTGGCACTTAAACAACATGCTGCATACTTGGATACTTTGCGTCAATGTGGTTGTCAAGTCACATGTCTAGAGGCAGACAGTCGCTTCCCAGACTCAACATTCGTAGAGGATGTGGCATTGTGTGTACCGGGTGGTCTCGTTGCCACTATCTCAAGACCAGGTGCTCCCTCGCGTCTAGGTGAGGCCGAGTTGATAGGTGACACACTGTCCAAACACTTTAAGAACATCGAGCACATCAATGCTCCTGGTACATTGGAGGCGGGCGATGTTATGATGGCCGGCACACACTACTTCATTGGCCTGTCTGCACGTACAAACAGAGACGGTGCCAACCAGCTCATTGCCATTCTCCAACGCTACGGACTCACCGGAGAGATTGTCGAGGTGCCCGATGCACTACACCTAAAGACCAGTGTCTCATACTTGGAGAACAACACAATGATTGGATGGAAGGAGTTCAAGTCAATGCCTCAATTTGCCAAGTACACATTCATCGAGGTCGATCAAGACGAACTCTACTGCGCCAACAGCATCCATGTCAATGGCAAGATACTCATGCCCCTTGGCAACCCCAAGACCAAGGCCAAGCTTGAGCAGGCCGGCTTCCAAGTTCTAGAGGTCGATTCCTCCGAGTTTAGAAAGATTGATGGAGGTCTCAGTTGTCTATCATTGAGGTTCTAGGCAATAAACTAATCATTGTGACAGTGATGGATACATGTGTTCGAATGGTGGCCGTAGAGTTTGGACTGTCGGGTAGTTTGCAAACTCATCAGGCTCCTTTAATGTGGCAGAGGTTTGGTTGTGTGTATATATATATCTTGTGATGATCAATCACATCACTCTCCCATCGCGGCGGAAGAATGTTTGTTCAAGTGTCCAGTGGATTGCGATTAATCCTATGGTGAGACCAGGTAGCATTCAATGACATCTGCATCCTTGAGTCCAATGGTGAGTAGGGTGTCGTTACCATCGATAGTCTTGCCATTGTGCTTAAAGATGACGGAGCTGGACAGGTGATGCTCTTGACAGAACTTGTCCATGAGAATCTGCAATGGGAATGGATTGGCCGTGTGCATCTTGATGTAGCTGCCAGAGTCCTGGCCAACCAGACGCACTTCCACCTCAATGGCGCTCTTGGGACTGGCAGTAGCCGTTGCCACAACGATCGATGCCTGTGTCTTCATGTTGATGCGCTCCGGGCTATCCTCAGGGTTCAGCGGCTTGCCCTCAAAGTAGAACACCGTGTCTGGTTTGTACAGTTGCAGGCGTTCGCAGAAGCGTTGCATCATCGAGTCAAAGGAGGTCGTCGTGCTGAGCAGGTAGGGCACCGTGGTGTCCTTGTACGAGACGTCCAGACGGACGAGCAGCAGGTGTACATAAATGTGTGACTCGTTCTCGATGCCCTGGTCGGTCGGGCATTTAGCCGGATCGATGTGCTGAGTGCCAAACGTGAACAACACTTGCTTGCTCTGGATGTTGTGCTTCTTGAGGAACGAGTCGGTCAGCTTGCACAGTAGAGTATTGCGCTTGTGCAGCGCGTACACCTCCTTCTCGCCACCCCACGATGGGATGACGTTTACGTGGATGATCTCGGGCGATGGCACAATGTGCAAGAACTCCTCGTCCTTGATGCCATTGAAGCCAATATCTGTCTTGAGGTCGAATGTCTGGCCACGTGTCTCAACTCGCAGGTTCTTGAGGTCATAGGGCGGCTGAGACTGATGGAAGTACGCCTTGACAATGTCCTCAAGCACCGTGTCGTCCTGGACCTTCATCAGCACGGTGCCATGATCAAAGCCCTTCACCTGCACCGTCTTCCACTTGCTCTCCCAGGTCACATCAATGATGTCGCCATCCGTGATGCCCAGATCCAAGATACGCACGCCTGGCTGGATCACCTGTTTGTTGTGATAGAATCGCAGGACAGAGTCGCGGTCCTCGCCATGGCCCACCACGTTGTACAGGTTGAACTTGACAATGAACATCTTCTTGAGTATGTCTAGATGGACAGAGTGCGGCACATTGATCTGGTACACTTTGTTCTCCCAGCGGAAGTTGATAATCATCGTGGCAGCACTGCTGCTTGGCGCCTGTGTGCTGGCCTTTCCAAACGACTTGTAGTCGTTGTTGGCCTTCTGTAGATGCTGCTGCTGTTGTTGCTGTTGCTGCTGTTGATGCTGTTGCTGTGATGCTCTGGCCTGCTGCTTGAACTGAGCCTGCTGTTGTTGTAGACTGTACTGCAGTTGTTGTAACTTTTGCTTGGCAAGATTCTTGGCGTTCTTGTTCGATGTGATGGGCATGTCATAGCTGGGGGTGTCCTCATCCGAGGCGTCCACAGGCTCAGGTGAGAATATCCTGCCGTCTTGGTCTATATCGTGGTGGTTGGTGGTCGTGGTGGTTGTCGTGGTGGGCGTGTACGTCAACGAAGGACTCCTATGCTTGCTGCTGGACTTGTGTGACTTGCTGCTGGACTTGTGAGTGTGGTGGGCATTCTTGATGATCAAGTCGGTGATGCGCGCCAGACGTCTTCTGATCGTCTCGGACGATGGTGTCTTCTCATCGGTGGCCACTGTGTCGTCAGAGGTGGGTACGGAGCCGGGTGATTGGAAGGCAAGCGTGTTGGTCTCCTTTTTCTTGAAGGCCTGTTGGAAGTCCAAGCCGGGGTCTTGCAGGATCTCGATGAACTTGCCAAAACCGTGTCTGTACACACCGATCAGCAGTGCCCTGTCGTGCTCTGTCGTCCAGAGGAGAGTGGGGCCACGGCCCAACGAAGGGATCTTGAGCGTCCTGAGGTCCTTGCCGTGTCGCGTCACAAATTGTTTGATGGCGCTCATCTGTACGAGACGAGTGAGTGTCGATTGGACACGTGTGGCGAATGAGGGGAAGTCCAGCTGTTGCCAAATGATGCTGGGTGTGGTGGCTATTCTCATCTCATTACTGCACAGTTGGTAGGTGTTCTCCTGAGGGTTGGCATATATGATCTTGGCAATGTACGTGCCGTTGAAGCCCGGGAAGAACATCTCCAGTGATGTCTGGCCATCAACGATCGGGTAGGATCTGATGATCAAGTTGTTGAACTCCTCCACCATCAGCACAAGATAGTATGTTTTGTGGTCCATTAGCTCGTGATGTTGTTGTTCAAACATATTTACATTGTTGTTGCTGGTGGTAGAGTTGGCGATGGCGGTATCGGTGGCAGTGGACATGGAGGTGTCTGTGGTGGAAGTGGTTTGTGGAGGCGATGTCGACCCTACGACAATGTCCTGCTGAGGGGACGGTGGTAGTGCTGCCTGCTGTTGAGCTGGAGGAGGAGGTTGGACGACCTCCCAACGAATGACTGTGGCTTGTGTGGTGATCAATGGTATGTTACTGTTGACATCCTTGATCACAAACTGTTTGAGTGACGTCAGGTTGTTGACACTGCCAATGTAATTGTCATAGTTGAAGCCCATACGATGCCAATTGTAGTTGGACGTGTCCTCTACAAACGAATCAAAGTATGACTTCATCGCGTCCTGAAATCCATAGCCCACCACCAAGAATGACTCTGCGATCGACTGGATCTCGGCCGGAGACTTGTTGATCGATCCGGCCGCCATCAGCTCCTTCTGAACCTTGTGCCATCGGTGCATGCCGTACTTGGTAAGGATGGCTTTCAACTTGTCCTTGTTGGACTTGCTCCACACTGGCACGCTGGATGCCGTGCCTACTGCAAAGCCCTGTCCCGAAGCCGCCAGAGGGTTCTTGTTCTTTGACGATTTGCCCTTGGGTGCCTCGCTCTGGCTGTCGTCCGAGTCGTGGCTGTGGTCGGGGTCGACAAAGTCTGGGTCGCTGCCACCGTCGTCGTCCGACGACGAATCAGTGTCGGGCATGGTAATGATCGCCTGGATGTTCTTCTTCTTCTTGTCGGCTGGGGCCGTCTGCACCACCTCGGGCACGACACGCTTCCTCGTCCTGGGTCGCTCGAGAAGTATACGCATGTTCTGTACACGGTCGCGCTCCTCTGTGCTGAACCTGGTGTTGAACTCGACACGCATGATAAGCTTCAAGAGGTCGCCAATGAACTCCACATTGATCGAGTCGTTGAGTTCATCGCGCTTGTTCTGTGCCAGCGTGCAAATGTCGTCAATGTACTTGGCGCGGGCCTCTTCGCTGGCAAAGATGCTGCCGCTGGTCAGCTTCTCATCGAGCTGACGCACGGTCTTGTACTCTGGCAACACCTTCTCCCAGAAGTTCTCGTCGTCAATGTCCACGTCCATGTCGTTCTCGTTGGATGCGAACGTGGCTTTGGAGAAACCAGACAGGTTGGTGGGCTTGTTCTTGGTGTCAAAGCTGATTGTGGTAGAACGCTCCAGGATCTTGTCAATATCCTCGTTGAACATGATCTTGTCGAGCTCGGACGCATCGTTGGCCGACTCGGCAAAGAGGTAGGCTGCGCCGTACTTGAGCATCTGACTGATCTCGCTCGGTGCCTCTGGATCAATATCCTTGCCGGCTGCCGCACCACCCTGGGGTGGTGTGGTGGTAGAGGTCCCATCTGTGGTGGATGTTGTCGTGGTTGTGGTCGTCGTTGTTGTCGGATCGGAATCGACGTCGATTGTCCCACTCTCAGCGGCAGTCGCGTTGGCGAGTGATGCCGCAGCCGCCGCCGCAGCAGCAGCAGCATTATCCTTGATAGGATTGTTCTTGGCCTGATTGAGCACAATGTGATCAAGCAAAAGCTTCTTGGTGGCTACCTCAAACAGGTACTCCTCGTACGTGTTCCTCGTGATCAGACGGTACACCTTGACATTGGATGTCTGGCCAATTCGATGGCATCGCGCCTGTGCCTGCAAATCACTCTGCGGGTTCCAATCGCTGTCGAACAGAATCACTGTGTCGGCCGATGTCAAGTTGATACCAACACCACCGGATCGTGTCGATAGAAGGAAGACGAAACGGTCAGACTCCTTCTCCATGAATCGCTCAATGCTCGCCTGACGGTCCTCGCTCTTGACCGAACCGTCCAGTCGCTCGTAAGGGTACTGGCGATAGTGCAGATAGTCCTCGAGGATGTTGAGCGACTCGACCATCTGACTGAATATCAGCACCTTGTGGCCCTCGGCCTTGAGCCGCAGCAGTAACTTGTCGACCAGCACCAGCTTAGAGCTGGAGCGGATCATCAGCTCGTAGATCTGCTCGTCGGTGGTGAGCTTCTCCTGCTTGACGATGGTGTCCTCAGCGCCCGGTATCAGGAATGGATGGTTGCACACCTTTCGGATCTGGATCATGATGTTGGTCAGCTTGGGCAGGTTGCTCTTGCTCCTGATGCCACGCGACAAGAACTCGCGGTTCTTCTCAAGGATGGCACGGTAGTAGGTCTTCTGGATGGAGGACAGCTCCACCTGGATCACGGTCTCCTCCTTGATTGGGATGGACAGCTCGACGTCCTCCTTCATACGACGCAGCAGGTAGGGTGACAGCAGTTGATGCAGGCGATTGACCTGCACCTCCTCCTTCAAATCGCTAAACTCATCCAGAAACTCTGTACAGTTATTGAACTTCTTTGGGTCCAAGAAGTTCAACATTGTCCATAACTCCTTCATATCGTTCTGCAGTGGTGTACCTGTAAGGATAACAGAGTGTTCAGTCTGTTTGTTGGAAAATGGAGTTAGTTAGTGAGTGATTGAAGGCGGACTCTTTGGCCATTAAGAACTACATACCCTTATAGACTTCAGCTTGGTCAACACCTTTGAATTGACGTTCTTGATTCGATGTCCCTCGTCAAGGACTATGACTCGCCATGGTACCTTGACAATGTCAGCGTGCTCTGTCATCACTGTCTCGTAAGTGGTGAGCAGGATCTCAAACATGTACGTCTTGTCCTTTCGTCGCCACTCATACTTCTTGAGGTAGGTTCGCGTCTCTTGTATACCGTAGAACATTAGCACACGCATGTCTGTCCACTTGATGATCTCCTTGTGCCAGTTGCCCAGTGTGGACAGTGGCGCCACCACCAGGAAGGGACCCTTGACGCCCACACGCTGGCTCAGGAACTGAAGGAAGGAGATTGTCTGGATGGTCTTGCCCAGACCCATCTCGTCGGCCAGAAGAGAAGAGCGCTCGTGATACCAGCAGTAAGACAGCCACAGGAAGCCCTCTACTTGGAACTCTTTCAGCGCCAGGCCGCTCTTGAACAGCGGCACGAGATCGGGATCGAATGAGGGCAGCTTGGTGGGGCGGGAAACGTATTTCTTGGTGCCACCGCCAGTGTTGATCATCTCGAAGTAGGTTTGGATGGCGGCGAGGTCCTGCGGGGATCTCAGCGTCGCTTTGAACTCCCAGGTGCTCTTCTCGTGCGGCAGATTCTTCCATTTGACCAGGTACCTTGTCAGGGTGATTGCTCGCTTGCCACGCTGTCTAAACGTCTTTTGTTCCTCAGTCAGCACCTTGTCGATTTGGATGTGGTCTGGACTGAAGTAGTGCAATGGGTTGGCCTCGGCTTCGTCCTTGATCGGCTCAGCGGGCGACATGTTGGCCTTCTTGATCTTGACCGACAGTCTGTGGTCGGTGCTGTGTGTGCTCTCGAGGTCCTTGATCGTCATCCATCGCACTGATCTGAACGACCGGTCTTTCAGCGTGACCAGGTACCTAACCTCCTCATCCTTCATTGGTTCGTCCTTTTTGGATGCCTCTGTATCTGTGGTTGTTGTTGTCGTGTTCGACGTCGATGTCGTTGTCGTGGTCGTCTCCTCAGTCTTTGCTGTTGTTGTTGATGGCGGAGGTGTCGTTGTTCCTGTTGGCGTTGTGCTTGAAGTACCAATCTGTTGCATGGGAGTGTGGTCTACCTTGGTTGCTTCATTTTGCGGCAGTGGTGACTGAGTGCCATTGGTCGTGTGCTCGGTGGATAAAGATGCTGGTGCTGGTACTGATGCTGGTGATGTCGAGTCTACAATATCCTTGCTCTCAGACTTGATCATCGGAGATGATGATGCCGACGATGTTGACGTAGCTGTTGTTGTTGTGGTGGAAGTTGTTGTTGTACCATTGTCGCTCTTGGTGTGGCTGACATTCGCTCGACTGCTGTTGTTGGCCTTGTTTTGATAATCGTAGAGAGTGTAGGGTAGTGACATAAACTTCCCTTTGAACAGCTTGGACGTCAAAATCTTGTCAACGACCTCTTTGGACAGATCGACAATGTCGTCTACGACCTTTTGTTGGTCAGGTGGCAAATCTGCCTCGTCGGCCGTCAGACTGATCACAATGTCCGAGAGCTCCTCTTCGCTGGCCTCCTCGTCGCCCTCCTCTTCGTCGTCTTCATCTTCATCGTCGTCATCCTGTGCGCTGACCTGGTCGTCAGACTCCATCGACTCGTCCTCGTCCTCCTCCTCTTCATAGTCCTCGTCTTCGGATGAGTACTCCTTCTTTGATTTCTTTGTTCGACGTGTCGTGGCCAGCTTGGAGCGTGGCGGCATCTTCCTCTTGGTGGTGGCAAGGGCGGCGACGGCAGCCTTCCTCTTTGGCTTTGCTGCTGGTGGCTCGTAGTCTGAATCCGACTCTGGCGACATGTAATCGCTCTCGCTGCTGCTACTCGACACTCTTCTCGTTGGTCGCTTGGGTGGAGCCTTCTTGCTGCCATTCGTCTGTCGCTTGCTCTGGGGTGGGGCGACCTTCTTCTTGGGTTGTCGCTCTTCCTCCTCGGATGAGAGGACTTCCACGCCCTCACTCTCCTCCTCCTCCTCATCAGGAGACATGTTATCATCAGAGTCGGACATGATAATCATCTCGTCATTGTTTACAGAGTCCGATTGTTCGTCTTCGGAGCTGTCAGCGAGACGCTTTACGCCTCGTCTAGTCGGTAGTGGTGGTGGCTTCTTCTTCTGTTGTTGTTGCTGTTGCTGCTGCTGTTGTTTTGCCTTTGCTCGGGTCATAAGCATTGTGTTGTTTGACGATGATTGTGTCGCAGCATTCTGTTGTACTACACGTCTCTTTTGCTGAGCCACCAGGACTGGAGATGGTGAAGACAATGGTGATGAAGGCTTTGATCCACGTCTTGTGATTGATGACAGGGGCATATCATCGCCCAATTCCTCTGCACCACTTGTATCCATCTCCTCATCACTCTCCTCCTTCCTATGACTCGCTCCGCCTCTATTATTCGTTGTCGTTGTTGTTGTGCCATTTCTACCTCCACCACCAGCACTCCTTGTGTTCACCATTGGACTCTTTGTCTTTGCTCTCTGGATTGATTGATTGATTGAGTGAGTGAGTGAGTGAGTGAATGGGTTCATTCCATTTATGTTTCACGTGATTCCTTACCTTCATTCCTAATGAATGTGTATGTATTATTATGTACGCTGTATATAGAGAGGATTGAAGATGGTGTATATATATTATACGGGCATGTATGACCTGAACTCTTCAAATCGAAATGCTCCACTGTCTGTCTGTCTGTCTGTTATTGCCCTGGATTGTTGTCTTTTCGTTGACTATGTACAATGTTGTTGTAAAAATAATATATATATAAATAATTGAAATATAAATATATATACGTTGGATTGAGATTGATGAACAATGAATGTGTGAAGATAGATGATGATCCGATTGATTCTTCTAGATGGTGTTAAATGTTAATAAAAGGAAAGGTGTTGTTTTGACAAAGTCAAATTCTTTGTAGAACGGCAACAAATGCTTATGTTGTGTGTTTGGATGGAAGTGTGTGCGTGATCGAGGGTGATTGAAAGAAGATGGAGGTGTTGGGCAAAGTCCTCGTGTCTTTGGCGCCTATCTTTGCAAATATAGATCTGATGTTATCTTCAATGATCATCAACATTTGTCCAGGCCCACATATCAACGGTTCCTTGCAATGATAAATCAATGAATGAATGAATGAATGTTGATTACGATTATTACTATGTTCAGTGTATATCGTTGCGCGCCAAAGTCAAATGAATGTGTGTGTGTTAATGTGATATGATTATGAAGATTGAACGAGAAAGAGTGGGGGACAATGATTGAACTGTGTGTGATCATTAGTGATTGTGTGAAGAACATGTGAATATTGAACAAGTATTCTTGAATGTTGTCAAGTCCGTGTTCTAAAGAGTTTGGAAACAATGAATAGTAGCCTGTTTTGGTTGACAATGAAAGTTGGATTGGAATGATTCCAGGGTAACTGATGATGGTTGGATGATTGATTGGTCGATTGTTGGAATGATTGATGGAACAATGTATGTTTGAATCTGAACCTGTTCCTGTTATATTCAAGTGTTGTGATTTGATGAACCTACCAAGTTGAGCGACCTAAATCCAGTTTGACGAATCTGAGGATGAGTGTTAGGTCGATTATCTAGTTATAACTTTTTATAAAGATTGAGAGTACTAACTATTTAACTAACTAAATAACTAACTTTGAATGAAACAAACAAACAAACTAACATTGAATGAGTTGAGATGAAATGTGATGATGTATTCTCCAACAACACTCTGGTGCACCGGGCTGATGGTTCAACCCAGCCAGGCACAAACTAACAAACAAACAAACAAACAAACATATATGAAGTATTATTGGTAGTAGGTTGAATGGCTTCCAAATGAGGAGTGGTGCGTTAGGGCGCCCACTAAGAGGGGTGTACATGCGCACTCTGTTGCTAGACTGATTGATCGATCAGGCAGCCTGGAAAGAATGGTGATGAGAGCGCACCACTCGAGTAGTGGTGTACTACGGTGATGATGGGTTGGATGGTCGGAGGGGTGTTGTCGAGAGACTGATCAAGTTTGTTTGTTTGTTGGATTGATTGATTGATTGATTGAGTGTGGTGCGCAGAACTGGAGCGTGGGGTAAGTGTGGTGGTAGTGGGTTTGTAAGATAAGATATGTTTGGAAAAGATGGTCCAACATCATCATCAGAGATGGATTACAAAGTGATTGATTGAGTTTGGTTTGGAAATGGAATACCAGAGTGATCCGATGAGTTTTGGAATTATTCCAGGTCCAAATATCTAAATTGACAAGTCTAGGGTCCTGGAAACAAAATCTAATCATACCTGTAGTAATCGAACAAATAGTATCTGTTTACAAAAATTATAACTATCTGGAAGGCAAAATGACGTTGGTCGAGACCGAATTTAGAGAGTTAGACTTTTTAGAATGAACAAACTTGTCAGCGATCATCATCAACGGGGGTGTATTCGTGTTGGGGGTAGGGTAGTTCATTCACGGCCTTTTTGGGCAATGTGGACGTGGAGACTGGTAACCCTGGCTTTCCCAAGTTGTTATCTTGATTTTCATTTGAACATGAACTCTTGGTAACAGGCTCATGAGTTTTGTTCACATTCTTTGGGTCGACCAGAGATCTGATTCTCACTGTGGCCCAGTGTGTGAGTTGGTGATAGATAGAACTGGACTATTATTGGGGTGAGGCCTAGGCCAGGTCAAAGTGTGGTTGTTTGGAACCAAGTTCATCAGAATGTTCATTTAATTGTCCCTCTATTCATGGAAAGACACTCACACATAATGTGTCAATAAAGATATCTTTGAATGAAAGGACATATGGTAGTTGTTTCAGTTGTTCAAATGGAATGACACTTGTCATATATGTATGTTTACAAGTCAATCAATCAAGACAGGGATAATAAATATTTCCGGATGATGGTTTATATTTGTTTGATTCCAAGTTGATGGCAAACAAACAAGTTGACAAACAAACATACCAAACTGATCTAGTATGGTCTGTATCGTGTAGTGTAGGATTGTTGTTGCTGGCCAATACTTGCATCACTTATATAACTCAGATAGGCATCGGGTGATGATGAGTGAGAGTGATGATATGCTTGAGTATTGTACATGTGTGAATAGGATCCAGAAGCAGCGGGATGTGAGCTATAAAAGTTCTGGAGTTGACTGCCAAGTGTTCCAATCGATGGCACAGAGATTGGAATGAATGAATAGCCAGACATATGATGATGTGGAGCTGGACTGACATATTGGAACGATGGTACTTGTTGTTGGACATATGGGTAGACTTGAGCCGGCTCAAGATGGGACCTCTTGATAGTTCTTTGCATCTTCTTGGTCAGTATCTCCACACGTTGTTTCTTGTCCACAGGTTTGGCAAATGATATGATCAACTCGCGTCCTTGATAGGAGATTGGCGAGGGACCGGTGGGCGGCCAACGCCTGCTCTGCATCGTCTCGTCGTTCAAAGTGCACAAAGCCAAAGTCTCTTCGCTTCATACCGGGAATGTTTGCTGGGATGGTCACCTTCTCAATATCTCCATATTGTTCAAACAGTGATCTCAGCTCTTCTACTTGGCGACCCTCTGATAGATTGCGAATGTATAGAGCTCTCACCTGTTTCATTGTCTCATTGTCAGCTTCCTGTACATAATCAGCCCAATTAACTGTTATTGAGCAATTGTTGACCTTGAAAGATGGTGACCCCAACTCTCTTCTTGCTTTATCCGCCTTGTAATGGTCTACAAACTCTACAAACATATATCCTCTATTCCTAGATGAGTTGTCTGGGTCCTAATAAAGTGTGAGAGGGTGAGGGTAAGGGTTGAGGGTTGAGGGTTAGTATTCAACTTCACAAGTCAAGTGATAATCTTGATACATACTAATAACAAGTCAATATGCTTTACACCTGTACAATGTTTGTATATGAGGTCTTCTAGATCAGATTTACTCATATCCTTTGGTAGATTACCAATGAATAGTTTCTTTCTACTCTCTGACAATCTGACTCTGATTGCGCTACCCTTCAAACGAGTGTTGTTATTGGCAAACTTATCCACTGCTCTCTGACAACATGTCTTGTCTGTGAATGACACAAAAGCATAACCCATCGCCTTGTCCTTGTTTGTCTTGTTGCTCATGATGCGTACCTATATATGGTGGGAGTGGTGATTGTTAGACAGAGGGAGTAAAGTCCGAGCATTCCATCCAACTTACTTTAGACAATGAACCAACTGAGGAGAACATCTTCCAAATATCATTCTCTGTGACATCTTTGGCAATACCTCCAACAAACACTTCGTTCTCGGAGGATGGTTCGAATTGATCGATCAATGCATCACTACTACAGCAGCTTCCATTAATACTACTAATACTACTATTGATATTTACATCTTCGTATGGAAGTGATGATAATGATGAATTCTTCAAGGATGGATAGTTGGATGGATTGATGGATAAATGGATGTAAGATAAAGGAATGAATTGGATAATTATTGGATCATGTGATAATTACATCTGAATCAGGTACCATATCATTGTTTGTTGAAGTCGATGTTAGTGTTGATATTGTTGTTATTGGAGATTCCATTTGTTGATAGGTCGGACAATAATAAATAATAAATATATATTTACAATTATAATATGAAAGGTGTAATAAGAGTTACAATGACAATAGTCTTAGAATGTCATTCATTCATTAGGACACTGTCGGGAAGTGGAATCCGTCGTAATACTAGAACAACATACACACTCGCGCCACACCATCATTGACCATGGTTCATTCCCAACAGAGATGGATGGATGGGATGGACGACAAGACGAAAGTGAGAGAGAGTAGTGTCAATGCAATGCAATGAAGTGACGTGACTACTTGAATGATTAATCTGGACATCAAACTTAAAAGAGATAGTGGTTCACTCTGCTAAGTGTTGATATTAGTGTGTTGATGTTGTGTGTTGTTGGACAAATCGGTTCGTTTATGTGTGTATGTGTGTGTTGTTCATGTGTGTGTGTGTATGTATGTGTGTAGTTCATATGTGTGTGTATGTGACTGATCATAGTCATTCGGAGTATTGCCTGATTGGTCTTTTTTTTATCACTTGGAAAAACAATGTTTTTTGATCATTCAAATTATTTTGATGCTTTGTTTGATTGAGATTGATCACTTGTTTGAATCTATTCCTTCAACGACCACATTTAAGTGTACAATACACACACACACATAATCAGATACACACTAACTCAATCAATTAATCAATCAATCAATTGTGTTACTCACTTTAGTAAAAGGATAGAGTACTTTTATTTATTCATTCACATTAACATATAACAATCAACACTGACGACTGACTAAACGAGAAGACACATTGTCTCACTCTTTCACTCTCTTACATTTATTATTATCAAGTACACAACTATATAAATATACATATAACTCTGAGGTGCAACAGCAGTAGTAGTAGTAGTAGTAGTAGTAAGGCGTAGTCAAAGATCAACTACAGCAGGTCGGCAATAGAGGACACCACACACAGACATAATGGCGTCACTTGTCGATAAACAACACAATTGGATAAAGAAACACTTTAAACATCCACCATTCTGCTTTGTCTGCACAAGATTGATATGGGACATTGGCAAATTGGCCAACTGTATGTGTATCAACATGTCGTGTTGACTGGTCAACCATTCAATCATATCACTTACTAACATCCATCTCATCCGTTGTCTAGACTGCACGACCTGTCATCTAGCATCTCACATCGAGTGCAATTCACTCAATCGAACACAGTACTGTACGATTATCAAGCACGACTGGTCAAAGGATCACTTTGACAACTCTCCATTGTGCTCTGGTTGTAATAATATAATATTCTCCTCAGACAAGCTATCTGGCTTCAACTGCGCCAAATGCTCAATCAAGGTAAGTTAAAGTGAAACGAGGGATTGAGTTGATGACATGATGGCCACTCACTCACTCACTCACTCAATCAATCAATCACATCAAACTAGACACATAAGAACTGTAGGAGCTTGACTCCAAAGTGCGAGTCATCAAAGAAGTTGTTCTCAATGGTCAAGTCACCGTTTGATAGCAGCAACAGCAACAGCAACAGCAGTAGCAGCAGCAACAGCAGCAGTATGACATCAGGTAGCAACAATGCCAACAATAATAGCTATGGCAATCTCGATCCATTCATCACTCAGACAACAACTTCAAGCATTGGCGGCAACAGTCTAGGTGGCAGTCTTGGTGGCAGCATGCCACAGGCCAAGTCTGGACTGAGTGCGTCGAGCACAACACTTCACTCCCCAAAGACTACTGGTGCCTCGGCAACAATGTCATCACCTCCATCATCTGGACTGACCTCAAGTGGAAAGGACACAACCAACATCAACAACAACAACAACAGCAACACAAACAGTCCAGCCACAATCACATTGAGCGCGAGCAGCAGTCTAATCAGCAGTAGCAGTGGCGGTGCCGCACTAACAAATAGCGCAGGTGCAGCCAATGGCAACAATTTGGCTTCAACAAACAAGAGTTCTGTTCCAAACATTCCGATCAACATTGGCGCAGCATTGGTCGTGTCCAACGGCGGTGGCGCATCATCTTCCAGCTCGCCGAGCGCCACATCACCCAATGCCATCTCGCAATCGACGTCAACACTCTCACCCAAGCCTTCGTGGACTCTGCCCTCGATCCCCTCAGTTCTGGATAATCCGGCGGCTCGTCCAGGCACACTCACAAAGTCGCACGATCCCATGGCCAGCATGGCCAGCGGCGGCAGCTTCTCATCGACCATCAAGTACTCGCTGACCAATCAGATCTCATCAGTGGACATCTTTAACGAGTTTGAGACTATCAATCGAAGCGTATTCACACAGAACCAGAAGCTGCTGTTTGTGGAGAAGGTCAAGTCCTTCTTCCTGGGTCTGACGTCACGCATGGACTCCAAGTATGACCTGTCGGCATCGGCCCGGCCGCGTAGCTTTGACGATCTCAGCCATGCGCTGCCCTCGTTACGCTTCAAGTCGATCTCACACATCTTCCACTACGAGATGCTGGCGCATGGACGCTTTAGAACACAAGAGCAGATCGAGCAGTATCGCCACACAATGGAGCTGTTCTTGCAGCTGTACGCATGCTACTTCTGGGGCGACGACAGCGAGATCATCCTGCGCATCGCTCTCGAATTCTACAATCATCTTTGCACGCATCGCACCGACCCCGAGAACGTCCTGCTGGGCATGACACCGAGCAAGGATATCCAACGACGAATCAAGAAGTACTTCTACATCTCTGAGACCAAGCAGCAACAACAGCAGCATCACCATCATCATTACAGCATTAACAGCAGCAGCAACAACAACATCAACACAAGCAGCAGCCGCTTCGCCAGTCGCTGGGACCTGCGGATATCACGACAATCACTGATTGAGAACATCACAAGTTGGGGCAGGTCCATCGACGACAAGGACCTGCTGCGTCAGATCAAGGAGTTTGCTCAGCATCTCGAGAAGGAGAAGTTGTCACCGAGCGACGTTGTGGTCATCAAGATTCCAAAGAACTGGAGTGCCCCCGAGAGCGGCCACGTGGTCATTGATCCCAATCACCAAGAGTTTGATGGTGGCTCTTTCATATTCGCGCGCTACGTCAAGGAAGCCGACCCGTTGGGTCTGAGCTGCTACGTGCACATTCAGCCTGACGAGCGCACGACCATCCGCATTCCACACAGTCGAGTGGTCTCGCTGGCCATGATCGACTTTGTCATCCCTCAGCTGCAGAGTGGTGATCGCAAGCTTGAGAAGTTCATCACCAACCCACTGGACGCCTTCACCACGGAGCTGCAGACGGCCGTCAAGGACACCACGCGCCAATACCTCATGTCGCAGGGCTACAACGTAAACTTGTTGTCACACGGAAACATGTCTTTGGACCAGCTCACACAGCTCAAGACACAGATCACAGCGCTGAGCGGCACCGAGACGTTCTTCCTTTCGATCGATCAGATGTCTTCGCAGTTCATCTCATTCTTCTCGCAGTACCTGAAGAAGGTCTACATGCACGAGTCAAAGGGCGACTTCCAGATATACATTGCCAGCAATGCAGTGTCCACAACAGCTGGCACACAGTCGGGTAGCGGCGCAGACGACCTTGCAAAGCATCTCGTGGTCGAGTACAATCACACCGTGGCCAGCATCAGCAGCAGCAATCTTCACCAGATGCTAAGCGCTATGGACTTGGTTACAGAGGACGAATACCTGACGGCGGCGAACAAGGCCGCAGCCAACTTCACCAAACACTTTGCACAACTCCGACAGCAGTACAACAAGTTCAAACCTTACTTGCCCTCATTGCGCCAACTCATCTCGGACATTGACAATGGACGCGTTCTGTGTCTGCGCGCCAAGGACACGCTGCCCGTGCTGGTGGACGAGATCGACCTGGCAATTTCACGAATCAACGTCGACTATAACGCCATCTACAATGGAACAAAGAAGAGCGAGTTGATGAAGTGGTGGCTGGGATTGATCGGAACATCGGTGGACACCTATCTGCAAAGCAAGGGATTCTACAAGGACGTCGTGCCAACCAACTATATTGACACGCCGCCCACCAGCATATCCAAGGTCAAGGAGAATCTGCGCATTGTCAACCTAGTGCTCCGACCCTCTGTCCAGGAGGACATGGACGATCGACTAAAGCACCTAATGGCGCCACTCAAGAAGAACATCTATCAGAGTCTCGACGAGTTCCTGTGTCTGGCTCAGAACCTTTTGTTTGATCTTGTAAGTTGACGTGGAAAGTGGACATGTACAAGCGACCAAGTTACTTACCAATCTCTATCCATCAATCATAGTTAAAGAACTCCAAACACTTTGGAGAGGAGTCTAGGGAGTTTGAACGACCTCAGGACCTGGATTTGCATGTTGTTCTCGAGGCGATACAGAAGTTGCCGAATGGCACTGGTGACGATCAGACCTTCAAGATGGCCAGTTTAATCAAGGACATACTGTATATCCGCGAGATGAAGCATCTGGAGGAGAAGTACTATAGCAACGAGATACTCACAGTGTCGCAGCAGCCACTGGCCGAGAAGCAACCACTGTCCGACTGTGTTCCCATCACTGGACTGATCTTTAGTAGACTGCTACGAACCAAGCATGAGCTGAGGACTGTTTTGGAAGTGTTTGATCAGAGAGTATCAGCCCGTTCACCATTCCCCAATGTTGGTCATCACGGTGTCATCATTGGCAAGAAGCAGGACAACGACAACTAGTAGTCGAACACACTACTTGGCCATAAATCACCAACCATTCATACATACATTCGTCGGCTGACACGGAAGACCCGATCTTTGCATGTGGGGGTACTTCAAGATTGACTAGATATTTTGATCAAAAACGGTGAATTTTAAGTTGTGATGGCGAATCACACAGGGTCGTGAGACCCAGACCCTTCTGTCAACCATTCCATTTGACATTCACAATTGCGACATTGATCATATAATCATAATCTATTATCACCAACCTATCTTAATAACCTAACTATGAAGTATACTATTACACATGTATTATTGTTGCTTGGTTGCATGGCAGCCATTGGAGCCTCAATGGTAGAGAACAACCCACCAAGTGATCCATATGAACAACAGAAAGCTGAGGACTACTTGTTGTTCTCCTACGCATCCTATTGTGATGCCAAAGAGATTGAAGATTGGTCATGCAAGAGATGCAAGTCTGACTTCCCCCATGGCTCAGTAGACAACCCAATCGTTATCTTTGAGAACAGCACAGACACTCAAGCATTCGTTGCAACATACAACAATACAGGTAAGGACATCATCACTCAATCAATCAATCAATCAATCAATCACTCACTAACTCAATCAATCATGTAACTTAGTGTTCATTGCCTTTAGAGGATCGATGGATATTGAAAACTGGATCACCAACTTGAAGTTCTTCCAGACAGCCTATCCAAAGGTGGCTGGTGCAGAGGTACATCTTGGATTTTATGAAGCTTACATGGGTGTTCAGAGCAAGGTCTACGACGCCCTCACCACAACAATTAAGAATTGTCCAACATGCACAAGCATCGTGGTAACTGGTCACTCACTTGGTGGTGCTTTGGCAAGTATGTAATATTCATTCATTGATCACAAGGTGAATAGAGATAACTAACTGTTGTTGTATTACAATTACTAGCACTATGTATGGCTGATGTTGTTGAATGGTTCCCAGAGATCCCAACAGAATCGATCACTTTCGGATCACCAAGAGTAGGAAATGATGTCTTCTCTACCTATTACAACTCCATCCAACCAAATACCTGGCGTGTAGTCAACATGAAGGACATCGTGCCCCATGTTCCCCCACAAGGACCACTGCCCGAGTATCACCACGTTCCCAATGAGTTGTGGTACAAGAAGCATCCGACTGGACCCTACATCATCTGTAACGATAGTGGCGAGGACAAGTCGTGTTCTGATTCCACATTGGTAGTGGAGCGCAACATATGGGATCATCTTCATTACTTTGATAAGCTATGCTGTTGCTAAATATGTGTTGTTGGTCTCTGTATATGTGTACCGTAACCCTTTGATTGGCCTATTGGACTAGTTTGGCATCAGGATTTGTCCTCGTATTGATAAATAGTTTTATTCCCATGTTTGGATAATACATTAATTGATGGATCAAGAATCCAGCTGGATTCTTGTGGTCCACAACTCATTTATGGGAACCTGGTGATCCATTCAAAGTTGGTCGATTGAATTCAAATCCAAATTAGTATATTGTTTAAAATCTGTTCGACCTAGTATGGTTCTAATACCTTAAATGGGATGTGTTGTAAATGAATTAGAATATCCTTTTTAGGTAATTTTATTAGTTGTGGGGGTGAGTGAATGAACAGATATTGCGTGGATGTATGGAGGGGTGTGTGGACAGATAAATAGATGTGCTAGCATCTTGTAGAATTCAATTGTTTTCCAATACCAATTATAAGTATCCCAATAATTATTTATCTGTAGTGATATTTATTTTATACAATTATACTTACTCCATAAATACATTATAGAGGGATTTGATAGAGACAGGGCCCCGTTGACCCTGTCTCTCTTTGGATGAGAAAGTGTTATAAACAAAGATACATATTCATATTTTAATACTTAATACATATTTATATTGAACAAAGGAATAGGGTGGCTCGTGACCACCCTTTTGGTAAGCAATTAATGTTAATATATAAGATGACTAACACTATTATTCTTATTCTTTGGATTGCAATGTTTGTTTTAAATGTATATATATGTTTGACATCATTCACTTGACAACTTATGCATGATATGCATACACCCCTTCGCTGAGTCCTTAATAAAGGGTTTACTCACGCGCAACACGCACCAACTAGACGGGCCGAGTAGAGGATACAATGCGTCACATCACATCACTTACACATGGTCACAACATCAATGCAAATCAATATCGACATAGCACAAAATCATCAGTAATCAACTTCATTCTTTGTTCATATCACTTCATCAACATTTGGATAGTAGTAGATTAGCAGTGGAGTAGTAGTAATATTAGTAGTAGTAGTAGAGTAGTGGAATCATCGATTACAGGAGCGACAGGACAATTGGTTACTTATTGGATTACATTTTGATCACACACTTGTTTCGGGAAAGGTTTGCACTTGGCATCATCATCAACTCACTTACTTCTGTTTCTTGTTTGTTCTCTGTTCTGTATTCACCATCAGTAACTGGCTGACCGGTTTCCCCCGCTGGCTTGGACATGTTTGGACCGTACCCCGCCTGGCTTTAGCCTTCAGTTGGTTATCCGGTTGGATTGCCCCCTCCCGAGATGCCGCCAAAGGACCTGCCATGGAAGGACCGCCATCATTCCGCCTTCAGTTTGATATTGATAGTCAATACACAACCTGCAACAATCTTCAACAACATCAACAACATCAATAACATCAACTTCAACATGTTGAACCGATTATATATATAAATTGCCAATACACATGACATGTCATCTCCATGAGCAATGGACCGTGACTCTTATATACCCTTAACATTGTTTGGTCTTGAAGAGGTAAATGGTTATTGTGAAGTTGGCGCGCAATCTCAGTTGGTGAAGTACGAATTAATTGTGCAACTTTTTTTAATCTTACCCTACCCTCACCCTTACCCTTACCCTCACCCTCACCCTTGCCCTCGCATCATATCATCAACAGCCTAACAATAAAGATAACCTTGTTCAATCTCTCTTTGTATCAATTTGTAATAGATATATAACACAACATCATACTATACCATGTCTACTACAACAACGACTACAACTAGCACATCTACGACGGATACACCAACAAAAACCACCAGGACAAAGAAGTCTGCCAAGGCAGCCAAAGCCAACCCTCATGAAGAGCAGGTACTCTTCTGGGCGATGCACTATTTATACAAGAAGGGACGTCCACTTAACATCTACAATGGTATGTACATACTGGTATTAAATCAATGTTTCAACTTTGTGCGTCTCATCATCTTTTATGTTCACACTCACTACTCAATCACTCAACATCAACAACATGATCAGGCTTCTGTGAGGAGGTGGTCAACAACTCAAAGAATGAATACCGTCAACAAATAGAGTTGTTGAACTCATTGAACATCTTGACACAGCAGTATACCAACCTTGAGGATCTCTCATCCATCAAGCTCAGGTTTGCCCTTGCCATGACTGTGCCATTTGTCAGGACCATTGGAGACTCTGCAGCACTCAAGTCATTCATCAAGCATGTAATGATATGGGTAATTATTATTATTATTATTGTTATGTTTGAATGAATGAGTCAAGTCACTAATCAATCCCCCTCCAGTTACACATTCAAATGCCCGATGATCAGTTTGACAATGACGAGGATATCAAGGCCATTGAGAATGAGACATTTGGTGATAAGAATGTTGTGTCAAAGTATTCAGAGATACTGGATGAGGTCAGGAAAGAGATGAGAGTTAAGGATCAGTTGTTGAAGGAGTCATACCCAGTGGAGAACTTCTCAACTCTTGCCAAGACCATCCAGGTGGAGATCGACTCACTCATGCCAGCGCCCATACTCTATAGAATTGCCGCTCGTACAAAGTCCTTGCCAAAGTTGATGCCATTCGATATGCCGTAAGTTATAAGAGTCGTCACTCGACTCAATCTTTGTACACTCCTTCACTCACTCATTCATTCATTCAAACACATCTCATAGATATCAAAGCGATGAACCTCTACAGTTTGAAGTTGCATCTGATCCCGAGGACATGATCCCAAGCAATGAGGAGCAAGCCAACCGTGAAGACTCTGAAGGCGATGATTCATCTAATGAGCAGAAGAGCAAGAAGAGAAAGTATGTGCCCTCATGGACACAAGACTTCCATACATTGGCCAAGGACATGGATACATTGGCTAACATAAAACCTAGACACCTTGCACTGGACAAACATGCCAAGATGCTAGCGACACTGCCAGTTGCATCAAAGAAGGCCAAGAGGAACGTGAAGATGTGGACCGACAAGGAGGTCAACAAGTTGATGAAGGGTCTGCAGGTGTATGGCGTTGGCAACTGGGCACAGATCAGAGATCGTTTCTTTATCGACAAGCATGGCGAAATCACTCGCACCAGCGGTCAGCTCAAGGACAAGCACAGGAACATGCAATCTGGTCTGAAGAAGAAGATGGGCGATGCTCGACATGACTATGTGAATGGCGAGACGGCTGCCCCTGAATCACCAGAGTCGTCAAAGCCAGACACCAGCGTAGATATCTCAATGGATGATATTGTTTTGGACTTGGAGGATTTCCAGGACCAGGACACGCAAGGCAAGGGCAAGGCGACAAAAGTATTGGACGAGGAAGATGATGAGGGAGTCGTTAATGAGATTGAGGAGGTGCCCGAAGTGGAGGAAGAGCCCGAGGACGAGGAACAAGCCGAGGAGATTGATGAGGAGGAGGAGGAGCAAGAGGAAAAGAGACCAACCAAGATCCAAAAGACATCACCAAAGATCTCGCCAATGTCACATCCAAAGCTAAAGAGCAAGGGAAAGAATGTTGCCAACAAGGACACGACATCAGACTCTGACAACAAGACACAAGTCAATACCAATGCCAAGGTCAAGGGCAAGGGCAAGGCACATGAATAGGTTTAATATGTATGGCACACGACATCTCTAATCGACGACTAGGTACTTTTATAATAAATCCAAGGGACTAGTCATGTTTGATTTTGACTCGGTAACTGCTACAACAGTCAACAAAGAACATGATGATGTTGAAAACAATGAACAGTACCAACCATCCACCGGTGACTCCAAATGATATGTTGATGTACATTGTTGGAATGAATGGACAGATCTTGAAGCTATACTCAAACTGTGGTGTATCCTCATCGTTCATATCGTTCGATTGAATTGTCTTTGAATCGCCAGGTATCTTCCTTATCTCAAACAAAGCAGAGTATCCACCATACTCTCCCATCATTGAACGTATTGTATATCTGTTTCATGTTGTTTGGACGTCAGTGATCAATTATCATTCCTTGGATTGACACTACCATCACTTACTCTATTGTATTGTTGTGCTTGTAGATACAACCATCGTGATCATGTCCATTGAATATAAACACTGGTTGTATCTCTTCCAGAATGAAACGACTTGTCTCTGGTGAGAGCATGGTCTGGTCGCGTATCACTGACTTTCCTCCACGACTGATTCGATTCACTTCGTACGGTTCGATGCACAAAGGATTGGAGTGATATGGTATTGAGAAGTTGGGTTGATAGGTCCTGTTGAGTGATGTGCCGTCCAGTTCTTTATACAAGGGAATATGTGTCGCCAAGATTATTGGTGTGTTGGTTGTGTTTCGCTCACGTGCCAGATCATTTAGGAACTGCCAAGCCTCATCGTAGACCTCCTGGTCATTCGATGGTGGGTCCAATGTCATTGAGTTGAATATAGCCAGTATGTGACCGGCGACGTACCACTTCCGGTTCACCTTGCCAAATGCATCCTCGAAACGTTGTACCAAGTGTCGATCGGCTTCATTAGCATAGCCAATGTCATGATTGCCAGTGATGTTGATCAACAGAGTTTCTGAGCTCAGTGGTGAGAACACAGTCCTATATCGCGCAACACGCTTGTCAAACTCTTGTTGGTGGATGTACTGCGAGGAGAAGAGATCGCCCAGTACGACCACATGTGACGGCGCAAGGAAGTATGCTATGTTTGACACGATGTGCTTAAAGTAGTGATCGTTGAACCATAGGTTGTATAGACCCTTGGTGCCCTCTTTATAGATCCTGCCATCGCCCTCCATCTGGGGATCGCCAAGCATAACCATCTGTGCACTATAATGATCCATTTGCCATTTCCATGAGCAAAAGAACATATAATTATATAGATATAAATAGAACAGACCTAATAACAAACCAAATATTATAAACAATTTGTTAAGACATATCATTTCTTTATCTCTCTCTTTATCTATCTATTATCTTTATCTATCTTTAGTTTGGCGTGATGATCACACTAACACACCCACCTTGTCATCATTATCTTTGTTTGGATTAATGACTCTTTGAGTTAGTGTGAAGTTCACTAGCTTGTAAACCTCAGTATTATTTGTTTACTTCAGATCTGATTTGTATAAGTTAACTTATACAAATAAATGAACATTATATAAGACACACTGACGTGTCAAGATAAGTAATAGATACCCAATACTTAACTGTTTCTCTCTAACCATTGCGATCAAGTCAAGAAAGGACTTGGAGAGAAGTTCCTAGCACACTCTAACAAAGAGGAAGGTGGTGCGAACAATTTAAGAATTACTTGTGTAGTTCACAGATATATAAATATTGACAATTAGTTGACTTCATTATTATTGGTATTATCAATCTATTAATTAATCAGTAGTTGAAGAGGTAGTAGCATATGGAAAGTCCAAGTTCAAAATGGAACAAATTCCTTTAATAGTACTTAGGAATGTGGCCATGAATCTACAATCAGTAGTAGACCTATATTGTTTAAAGTTTACTTGCAAGAGATTTAATAATATCCTATCTAATAGTTGTTGTGTTGAACAACGACCATCAAACAACAAAGAAAGGAGGATTCCACAATCAACTACAAATAATACTACTACTACAGCTAGCGTAATATGGGACTATTTTTTTCCATTCAGCAATGAAACATCTATCCAAACATTGACTATGGGAACAAACTACAATGCTATGTTCTTAGATCAGGTACTTCCTCACTCTTTGACCTCCCTAACTTTTGGTGATCAATTCAATCAGGATATATTGGTTGGTTCGATACCAATTACTCTCAAGACACTTGTATCTGGTGAAAAGTACAATAGGATGTTGATCACTGGTGCACTGCCTCCTGCCCTAACAACTCTTACATTTGGACAGAGGTTTAAATGTCCATTGATACCAAGAGCCATGCCAATTTCATTATTGTCACTTACATTTGGTCAACATTTCAATCAAACTTTGGAGCCGGAATCACTTCCATCAGCATTAACATCACTAGTGTTTGGTGATAGATTCAATCAACCGTTAGAAAGTGATTGTATTCCAAAGTCCCTTACTACCCTTACCTTTGGAATGGACTTTAATCGCTGTATTAGACCAAATTCACTTCCGACCACTCTACAACATATCAACTTTGGAAGATGTTATGATAGACCATTCGAATCACAACTTCCATCTTCTCTAAGGACCCTTTCACTTGGTCTACATTTCAATCAACTGATAACAAAGAAGGATATGGCACATCTATCAACATTGGAGACACTATCATTTGGTAGCTACTTCAAAATGACCAACCTGAAGGAGTGTCCTGCCAACTTAAAGTCGCTCAGTCTATGGGGATTCAATCAATGTCTGGAAATACCGTCAAATCTCCTAGAGGGCCTGGAACTTGTTCAAGTGCATCATAGTGTCGATTCCATCATTAGTGTACGGCCAATGGATATCAACCTTTCAGGCAAGCTAGAGGTGATCCTACATGATTGTAATGAAAAGTCATTAACAGATGTTGAGAATTGGTACAGACGTCTATTGATACTCTATCCAAACATTAACGTTTTTGATATCAAACTTGATCGAACCAATCATCTCTACAGTCTACACGGTCGTAGATTATCAAACAATATCTCTTTAATCCATGTTAACTATTCTTGTACAAGTACCTGTATGGTGAAACACAACAACAAAATCGACTTTGTTTCAAATGACTTCAATAAAGCTTGATTTGTACAACTCACTTTCGTTCGACCGTCATTATTCATTCTAATTATTACCCGATATAGACATAAACATATATACATACATATACATACATATATAATGAATGATAATGTGATACTTGAATGCTTGATGGCATTGTTGTCACCAGAGGAGGAGAAACGTGGATTGGCAGAGCAGAAGATCAATGAGATGTCATTACATCTTAATACATTTGGTTCGACACTATGTTCGTTAGCCGTGAACAAACAGGTCAGCATAGATCTTCGTCAAATGGCTGCTGTACTATTGAAGAAGCATATCAAAGAGCATTGGAGTGACCTTGAGAGTGTCGAGCGTGACAAAGTCAAGAGTCTCTTGTCACCTGCCCTCTCAGACCCATCATCCAAAATCAGAACTGCCATTGTATGTCTCTATCTCTTCGTATCTCCTCCAGTCCAACTTACTAACCTTTGAACATTAAACCCATTAGGCAATGTGTATAGGTAGAGTTGGATCTTTTGAGTGGCCTAATCAATGGCCCACATTGTTGGACGACTTGATCAAATGTATAGTGCCACCAATGTGTCAGGACAAGAATATACTGTCTGGTGCACTGATATGTTTGGAGATACTGTGCGACCCTTCATATCTGAGTGAATCACAGATCCAGACGATCATTGTCGTTCTGTTCCCAGTGTTCTTGCAGATTCTTGCCACGTTCAATGCCGCACACACCGACGACCTGCTTTACAATATGTCTGTGCACATCAAGATTGTCCGCATCTTCAAGAACATCATTTCACAATCACTGATTGTTGATGGCATGAGGAAGTTGATCATGCCCATCCTGCCAGGCTGGATGGAGGCCTTTCGTCACGTGCTTGAGGCTCGCGTTACACCAGGCGCTCGCCATATGAACCAAGTGTTCACCGTTCAGACCAACGCAATTGAGAGCTATTCAGTGCTCACTTCAAACTACCCCAAACAGATGTTAAAGTACCTGCCCTCGATGATCCCTTCGCTCTGGGGTCTATTCGTAGGCTACTATCAGTTCTACGAGAAGTTGGAGATCAATAGCAATGGCGACGATGACACACCCGTCACCACACCTGGCTCACACGAAGAGTTTGGCATCACCAGGATCGACAGTTTGGTAGCGTCCATCCTGGAGTTTGTCACTGTGGTCATTGACAGCAAGTCCAAACAGATGTTTGCGCCACAGCTCCAACAGATCATCCAGCAGACCATTCTCTACAGTCAGATGACCAACAATCTGGTCGAGTTGTGGGAGGACGAGCCCAGCCAGTTCCTGGAGCAGGAGGACGAGACCAGCAGTCATCCAAGAAGCATCGCATGCTCACTGCTCGATCGTCTGCGAGAAGTTTACGGCAAGGACGCCTTGCGAGCTATCTACGAGACGGCTTCGGCACTCATTGCACAGTCATCGGCCAATCGTGCCGAGGAGAACTGGTGGAGAATTCGCGAGGCATCACTCTTGGCTCTCTCAACCCTCGCCAGATACTTTGTAAAGTCAGGCGACAAGAAGTACTTTGACTTTTCGTTGTTCCTTACAGACTGCTTGGCCAAAGACTTTGACCTGCCCAAGAGCGAGTACAGTGCCATACTACAAGGTCGTTCACTACTCTGCGCCAGTCTCTACTGCCAGAGTGTCGACACTGCCATCACCATTCCATTCCTCAGAGTGGCGGTCAACATCATTGCCGATGGCGACCAGCCAGTGCCCTTCAAGATGTCTGCACTCAAGGCCATTGCAGGCTTCTCACCACGTCTTCCCAAGGCCATCATGGCCGAGTTTATACCGGCCATCATACAGGGCACTGCCAAGTTGTTGCCAACAGTAACCGAAGACTGTCTCCTCGTGGTCTACGACGCCATCCTCATGATCATCAAGATTGACAAGGGTATTACAGCTCAGGCCGAACCATATTTGACACCCCTATTACTGTCCTCTTGGATGCAATATGCCAACGATCCACTGGCCTCTGACTCAATACGCGACATACTACATGTTATTTGCCAATCACCAGAGGTGTACCCTGGCATCCTACAACGCCTGTTGCCAACCCTCTGCACAATACTGGAGTCATTTGATAAGCCAGCCTACGTTGGAATAGGAGAACGAGCCATCGACATTATCAATCTCGTACTGGCCAACCACAAGGGCAACTTTGATCCAATGCTCCTCGAGAGAATATTCGCGCCACTAGCCACTATCCTTACATCCAACACCACAGACACTGGTATACTCAAGTCATCGCTGTGTGCCATTCTACCATTTGTGCATCACTCTGCACCTTTGCTGGCCACATGGAAACATTCCACCACTGGTATCAGTGGCCTTCAGTACCTGTTCCAGATTATCGAGAAGCAACTGCAGAATCCAGAGGAGTTTGTTGCCATGTACACACCTCCAATCATCACTCATTTGATTATCAAACTTCAACAGCACATCCAACCACACCTGCCTCTTGTCCTTAGACTGTCCCTCGAGGTCCTGCTGCGTTGCAAACTGCCATCATTCAAGCAGGCTCTGATCATTATCTTTGCTCGAATGGTCCTACTCTCCCCAGCAGAGGTCGTCCAATACCTCAGTGGTATCAATTTGGCAAACAACTCTACAGCGCTGGAGGCGGTGCTGAATGAATGGACCAAGTATCATGCCGACATCCACTCGAGACTCGATGTCAACATTAGCACTATTGGCTTATGCAAGCTAATCAATCTTGGTGATGTGCGACTGGAGAAGATTATGGTCGATGGAACCCTGCTCATTCCAGAACAGTTCAAGATGAGCAGGTCATCGGCAAGACAGAGCTTCATGAGTGGACGTACAAACTTGGAGAAGTGGACCAAGGCTGCCTTTTATCAAAAGGCTACAATGGTCATTATGGAGACATTTGAAATGGAGGTGTTGGACAAGAAGAAGCTGATAGAAGATGGACAGGACTATGCCGACGACGACAACATCAATCACGATGAAGACGATGGTGATGACTTTGACGAGGACGAGGATGAAGATGACTTTGATGTGGACAAAGCATCGTTTGCACCCGCCGAGGATTATGAAGAATACCTTGAATCAGATGATGACGACAGTACTGGATTCGACATGGACGCTGACAGTGTAATCGATAAAGAGGATCCACTGTATCATATTGACCTTGCTGTAAGTTAATTCCCCTGCCATTGACATCACTGTCCTCTAACTTACACCATTCCTCCTCCTCAACTAAAGAGTTACATCAAGGACTTTATCAAAGAGATGAGAACAAACAACGCCAATCAATTCAATGGACTGGCGCCAATCATCAAGAAGATTGCACCTCAATTGGTGGAGTAATATATATATTATATAAAAGGTTTATTCGATCACACCTATCTCAAGGGAATGGGATCGATCTACGCTGCTGATACTAGACCTCTCGCGAGTGAATGGATCAAGGGCAAAGCTCTGTCGCGCACTGCTACTCATGCTGTTGCTCATGTTGCTTCCACTTAGGCTGCTGCTGTTGCTCATACCAAGTCCGACGCCGCCTACTCCAACACTGCTGCTTATGTTGTTGCTGAGGTTGAGGTTGCTGTTGTTGTTGTTGCTGATGTTTATGCCTGATCCAATCAAAGTGTTTGGCGGAACCGTGTTACCGAGACCGGTTGTAAGATTGACATTGGGAGCTAGGACATCACCCATTTCATCCATTGCTATCGATCCATCGAGTCCATGATCGGTCCTGTTATGTCGATATAGTCCCATGAATCCCTTCTTCTTCAGGAGCATCAGCACTATCACAATGAATAGTGTCGTCAAGGCTGCTCCAAGTATCAGGAATATTGTTCCCAAAGATTGTTGAGTTTGCTAATGATATGAATGATTGTGAGTGATTGATCCGAGTGAAGCGTCGGTCTGCTGATGATACCCTACCCTTGACATGCCGAATGTGAATGTGCCATCAGTTAGGTCACCTGCCACAATGAATGGATCACTGTTGGCTTTGATCTTGAATAAAGTATTTCTAAATAATATTGGTGTGTTCTTGACTATAACTGTGTCTGTGTAACTGGATCATTAATGAATGAGTAGGACAAAGATGTAAGTGACATTGTATGGACCATAGGTAGGTGGTTCAAGTACTTGATACACACTTTAGCTGAGAGTCTCCATATATACAAGTTTGATCCTCGTCCAAAGTGCTGCCACTGTTCTTTAAAACAAAGCAAGCGCCACCAAACTTCTGTTGAATGATTGATTGATTGATTAGTTTGAATGATCGATCGATTGATTGATCAGGATAGTCATATATACCTTTTTGATCAAAGCCGCTCCTAGCTGGTTGTCATTATCGATGACATCGTTTGTATTCTGTTCATTGAGTGCTGTTAATGTTGCGGATTGTTCGCGGAATAGTTCAACAGTCTGACTCGTAATCCTCTGGGTTAGGAGTGTCTTGCTCTACAGGTAGTATAAATGACATGATATGTTAGTAGACGGTCTCAATCAATCACATAATGACAAACATACATTGTAGCTATAGATTGTGAATATGAGACTGGGTAACTGCGACATCGTCGTCGAGTCGTTGATAATTATTGTCGGTATGATTGATGATATGTTACAGATGAAATACAGTGGCTTGTATGGTAGGATGTTGGTTTGTGTCGTCAACGGCAACTGCTCCGCATTGATCGATGTAATGTAATTGAATCGCTGAGGTTGCTCATTGTTGTTTGTTATTTCACTACCGGCCTTGTAGCTCAACGACACGTTGACATAGTATTGTTGTCTTGAGAATTCTCTTCTATGCATGCTGTTCCATCCCTAAATATATACATTGATTGATTGTTAGTAGGTGATCACGACATGATGCCCAATAGTTGACACCTACCATCACTGCACTGTTGTATCGTTCTAGTTGGGGAACATCGACAATGATGATGGATGGGTCCAAGAAAGCGAACGCTGTTATGAAGAAGGTTGGCGCCAGTAGTCCCAGGAAACAACTAGCGATGAAGAATGTTCTCCATTGCTTTGTTGTCTTGACCAGATTCCTCATGTACTGACTGACTGACTCTGCTCTGTCGTTAAGAGAATCACTTTATATGTTGTTGACGTGATGTTTGCTGTCTGTAGATTAAAGATTGTCGGTATATATTAGTAGTATTTGTTGTATTGTTGTTAACTCTAGTTACATCAATTCTATTTGAGTGGTCGATAACTTTGGTTGCCCACAACTATTTCCGATCTGTTTTGTTGATAAAAACAGATCAGTTCCAAGATGTAACCAATCGAGATCATAGTTGTTATTACAAGTTAGTTTTTATTTGAATGGTGTAGTAAGAATTACAATAGATAATAGAAAACAGTGTCAAATAAAAGGAGAAATAAATATTTGGTTGGCCCAATTTTTACGCATAAAACCGATGTAAAATGTTTTTCCTTCACAGTTGCCCGGATAGCTCAGTCGGTAGAGCGCACGGCTCTTAACCGTGTGGTCGGGGGTTCGAGCCCCCCTTTGGGCGTAACTTTTATTTATCTCAGCCGAAGTTTTTTTATGAACATTTGATCAACTTGTAGATACCGTTTACAAGTGATAATATCATTTTTATTGAGAAATATTGGTATTTTAATAAATTAGGGAAACTAAACTATCTGTTGATAGTAACTTTGTTCCTCTAACTGTTAATTGGTTAAAATAATCTATTAGAACAAATTGATATTTCATTTAATATTTAAGTCTTAGTTTCTTCTTCAATTGGATATTTTGTACCATACTTTGGGCCTAAGTTTTATATATCTGGATTGAGGTTATTTTTAAGTAGTTTTGGTCTCCACCGACGAGAGGGAATCGCCACTAACTGTGCTGCAAGTCAGTCAAAAATGTATCAGCCCCTACATTAGGTCCTGGTCATGTACCACTCCAAGAAGGCTGACAAACTACATTTCACCCACATCATAATTGCCATCATCCACCAAATGTGGATAGTAATCTCTAGTCGACTCTACGCGTCAAGGACAAACCTGTCTTGATCTGGGGTATCACTTTGATGGCTAGTTTACAAATAGTCATTTTATTAATTTTTTTTTTTATTAATGAAAATAAATGTAAAAAACACTTACCCTTACATTCAGAGCTAAGAACAAGTGAGCAACTTCACCGTTACGACTCTCTATTGCATGTTATAGGATGTTCATATCCTCCTTGTTGCCAAATCTACTAATCTCTCTCAAACCACATCACACTATCTATCTCTTATTAATACTATCACTCAAATATGAAACTTCTCTTTTTGATCATCTTTATACATTTATCTATTTTTGTTTCAATCTCTTTGTCCCAATGGGCTCTCAAGCAGAGTTTCAATGACTTAGAATCGTGTAATCAAGGAACTCAAGTCGGATCACAATACTACACAATGGTTGGTCTTTGTGTAAATTGGAACATCTACGAATGCAATGACACTATGGTCCAAATCCAGGTAACCCCAACAACTGAGAATTGCTTCTCTGGTGAAGGTTACACCTTGTTGTATGAAACCGACATTTGCACGCAAGAGAGCGGAGTGTACACCAAGTGGAGCTGTCAGAAAGAGTACGCAATCCCCCAACAATCGACCAACTCCATTGGCTATATCATCCATAGTTGCCCCGGTGCAGACTCAATATATCAAGTGAACTCAACTTCGAGCTTTGTATGTTTGGATGGAATAATTCAAGTGTGCAACATGGCTCAGAACTCAGTCACCGAGTATGTATATCAAGGATCCTCAACGGTGTGTGTATAACTCAGGGGGGCCCCTATCCAACATTGCATCGGCTGCGCCGATTCCATTATTTACTTCCAATTACTCTTTTATATTCTTTTATATTTCTTTTGGGGAGTCTAGGGAGGATAATAATAATAATAAGAGGATCTGGTAAAACAATTGGGGAGGATGGGGAGGAGAATAGGGAGGGAATTATAAAAGGGTATCTGTCGCAACTTGGGGAGGGAAGGGAGGGGAATAGGGATGGGGAAATTGGGGAAAAAGAGTATGTGTATCGACATAGGGAGGTTGGGGAGTCAATGGTGGAAACTTTTTAATAATAGAAAGAATTATTTGTATTCTTAAATTTCTTCCACCATCGACTCCCTGGCTCCCTGTTTGGACACTGTTACTCTTTTTGGTTGATTTGGTCATCCCCAAGACTCCCTAAGTGGATGTGGTGATTGATTTAGGTGATTGATTGGTGGCTTGGAGGTTGGAAGACCAATCTTGTTGAGCATGGATGTCAGTTTATTTGATTATTCCAATCGCATATGGGTGCATCAAAAAATGGTCTGATCGCATCGCTCCTTACAAGCTGATCAAACCATGGCTGTCTTCCTGTGGCTGTATAGATACGATTGAAATTTGGATTGTGACCAATGCCGCTCGCATAGTTCCTTGTGGCGGATGCGAAGACTTCCCAGCTGGGGTAACCAGGTGTATACCAACGTCGAAGAAACAATGCCAGGTCACGAGTAACTTGAGCTGTTCTGAATTGCTCATATGGGGCACCATCTGGGAGAGACTCTGAGGCATGACGGTTGGATTCGTGTCCGGTTCTATAGTGATAGATAGCCATGTTAGGAACCACAGCCATCACTGGTATGTCTGAAGGTGTGACAATGTATCTGAGAAAGTATAGATCGGCGAATTGGTGATCCAACAAAACTGGAGAAGACGCTTGGATAAAGGATTAAAGCATGCTGAACTTGGTTGCATACTCCCAGTATTCTCCTTTGTCAGTTTCATAGGCCTTATTGTTGGTCACACGGATGGCCTGCACGACATTGTCCGGACTCTCAAGAACCTGATCAAGTGTTTGGTGATAAACCTCCACTCGGGATTTAGCCCATATGTCATCGTCGTCCGAGAAGATGATCCAGGGCTCTTTGTCTGCCCCATGCTGGTCTAGAACCTTGACAAGAGATGCGTAATGTTGGAACTGTGATTGTTTCTTCATGGTTAATTTGACTTTCAGAGTGGGATATTCGCGGCTCCATTGCACCATCTTCCTAAGAACATCTGGTCCTATTTCGATTGCTGAGCTGGCAGATATATACAGAGGAATCTCCACTGATTGTTGACTCCACGATACAATCATCGACTCGACAATCTCGAAAGACTGCTAATATGGGATCCACATAAAGCAACAACTATTTGTCCCCAATGTAAGTTAATATGCAATGTGAAGTAAAAGGTAATGCTTACACTTGTGTTGTGTGGTCATCGGAGTTGTCCAAAGAATTCCTTGTAGATAATGTGCTATGTATGTTATTAGATAGAATGAAGTGAGTGAATTGATATAACCACACCAAGTGAGCTTCACCCACTTTCCAACAACAATCAATTAAATTTAATTTAGAAAAAAACATATAAAAATATCTCTAACAGATATAAGAAAGCCATCAATCAAATATCACTATTAATCCGACCCGGAGTTCAGGGAGCGCCACAAGGCATACATCAAAGAAAAGGTCAAGTGTTAGTGTGGCTTCGAAGTGGGTCGCACCAATCTCAACCGACACAAGGAGGGCTACATTCACAAACAGTTGATGGCCAACAAATAATTCTAAATGATATAAGTTTATTATCTCTAGTAAAGTTATAATCATGCCAGCAACCTACAGCACAACCAGACTCAACAACCTCGACTGTCAGATGAGACATTACAAGGGAGCCTACAATCGCGACACGATCAGAATGATTGCACAACGGCTCAGTGACGATCTCTATTTCGGTGGCTCTGCTGCTCGTCTCGAGGTCGCGATCGAGAGTTACGTCAGAGTTGTCCACCTCAAACTAACCAACGAGCACTACACTTTAGACAAGGAGGGCGCCTTTGAGCCCAAGGGCATCATCCTCAAGCGATACAACGATGACAGAATCCCTCCATATGGTTGATCAATCGGTATCGCGGAGTGCCATTCAAAGAGGCGACTGGCTACAGTGATGTGAGGAGGGAAGAAGGCGAGAGACGACGACGACGACGACGACGACGACGACGACGACGACGACGACGACGACGACGACGACGACGACGACGACGACGACGACGACGATGACGACGACGATGACGATGAGCACGACGACAATGACAGTTATGACAACGAGGAAAAAACCACAGCTCAGATATTGAGAGAGTTGGCTGCCATTGGACGAACACAGACACCAGCATCAGGATCAGCACCTGCATCACCACCAGCACCAGCACCAGCATCAGCATCAGCACCAGCACCAGCACCAGCATCAACACCAGCACCTTTAATATGGTCACCACTCCAACAAGCAACAAACAGTAGTACCAACACCTCGTCATCCACGTACATCCCATTGATGGTCACTCTCTCAAGACAACCAAGATGGTCACATATCCTATCGAGTTGCTTGCCATCATCTGTTGTTCTTGGTGCGGCCAAGGTTGGAAAGGGCATCTCCAGCCTATCCAGTTGCACATTGTGTGCTCTCCTAATATGCTCATACAGGTTGTAGGAATAATCTGTAACCAGTGAGTAATATCCCCATATAATTGCCACCTCTGGTTATCAATAAATTGATATAGATGTACATCTATCGTGCACTTAATATGTAGAATGTTCCGCATTTTGCTGTATCCCAAGGGGTATACTCAGCTGACTACCTTGTTCCAGGATCTTTGCCAGCGTCACTCAAGTCACGATGCCATTTTCATACTCACGACCCCTGGTAGAAGGACTACTCCCAACGACGCTCAAGAGATTGGTCCTTGGGAAATTAGTACAACCATTGACACCTGGGATGATGCCGCCCTCGCTGGTGAGCTTGCACCTTGGCAATGAGCGTAGATTCAGCTATGAGCTTGTCGTTGGATCGCTGCCTAACTCTCTGACAGAGTTAAGCTACTCACCATCCTACTCACAACCCTGTGATCCAAGTGTGTTGCCTAGATCGCTCACATCGATCACACTGGGATATGGCGCCCTCATACAAGGCGAGTACCCAACCTCGTTGCGCCATCTGGTGTTTCAGTATCACAACAACTTTGACCAAGACATCATCCCCAACATCCCATCACTTCGATCACTGGTCTTAGTATTGGACAAAGACATCGCACTTGGAATGATACCATCCACAATAACTTCGTTGAAGCTGCCCAGATTCAGAATGGGCATCGAATCTCGCGCTCTTCCAAGCTCGCTCACAGAACTTGTGTTGGACGACACCTTTGATTTGTCAAAGCTGCGCGCCGGTATCCTGCCAGAGTCACTCAAGCGACTTAAACTTAAGGGCCCGCCCTTCAGCAGCAAGAGTGCGAGCAAGATGGTGCTGCCAGGCGGCCTTACCCACCTCACAATGGCTGGACTTGCACAGCTCGAGTATGTGCCGGCGGCCGCCAAGGTGGCGCACGTCCGAGTTGGTCTCCAACTTGGATCTGGATTCAGGCCAGTGATGAGTCCATTGCTTGCTCCCATTGGGACACTGTCACTTGCCGTGGACAAACACAGCAACAATTTGTCTCTCCAATATGGTGATGACGAACTCCCTTTGTCAATGGATCTGTGTGCTCAACTGATCAAGCATGCAATTGAGTCGGTGCCCAATGTTGACAGATACACGGCAAGCCTTAAACACCCGCCTGCCAAAGCTCGATGGTGTCTGGTGGATGAGAAGCATGCCATTGCATGCATAACATGCAAGGGAGTGACCTGTTTCAAGAGCTTGGCCTACAAATAAATATCCATCTAGTGTAGTTGTGTTGTTGTGGTTGTTGTTGTTGTTGTTGTTGTTGTTGTACTAGTTACAATAAAAATAATACAATAAGGCTAAGGTGTTTTGAAGGGATTATTCTATTATTACTTGAGGATATACAACTACTTCTACTATTTATAACAATTGATCATTGTTGTCAGTTAATAGGAAATCATTTATTAAAATAGTTCATCATCATGATGATTATCTTTAACTGATCTATCTGTGGAAATAAATAAATAATTGGACAACTGGATACATATTTAGCCAATTATTTGTTATATTTATCTATTAGTGGATTTATCGATGTCCAATTACCTGAGTTTTACCCACACTTGGGGTATTTCTACCTAACCCAAGTTGGGTAAAGAATGATTGAACCAGTCCTCATTGCTCCTCATCCTTGTTGGATGTCCACGCTTCTTGATTATAATGTTGTTGTTGTCGTTGTTGCTGTTGTTGTTGTCTGTCGATGGCGACTTGATGGGGACGGAGGGCGATGATGGAGATGCGTCCTTGGACTCAACCACTGTAAAGTTCGACAGTAGTTGTTGCTGATTCTCTTGTTGCTGCTGTTGTTGTTGTTGTTGCTGATGCTGTTGTTGTAACATGTATCCGTGAATGGTTGGTCACTCTGTTGAGTTGGAATGGCGGTGAGACTGCAGATGTACATGACCATGTTGTTGTCGGTGTGAAGGTGAGATTGCGGATGTACATGACCATGTTGTTGTCGGTGTAGTATTGATTTTGGCCGCCTGGGAAAACAAATGTCCTGGATTGATGGATGGGTTTGGTCAAACACTGGTTGATGATTTGGACAAGTTTCGATGTTGTTGATGAATGGAGATGTAGGTGCAGTACCTTGGAGGACAGGAAGCACTGAACTGATCCAGTCGTTACAATGCGTACAAAGAGACGTGGATAGCTGTGCTCCATGCGGCAATGATACTCGCTGTCTTGTTGATGGAGGTTGCAATGGTTTTGCTGTCTATCAATCCATCCACAGTGATGCGGCGATGATGCCTGCGAAGCGTGGAAGATGCCTGCGTAGCGTGGACGATGCCTGTGCAGCGTGCCTGTGCAGCGAGGTGCATGGTGGCTGCGCCAGCGTGTGCCTTGTATTTGTTATTCATAGCCAGTTAACAACGTTGTTCTGGAAGGCACGTGAGGCAGCACAGCTGGTCAGATTGGCAACGGGTATGTTGCGTTTGTTTGCCTTATGTTGGCGCTTCTGCAACCAAGGTAGCTGAGACTCGACCAGTTGCGAAGTTAGCTCCTTCAGCTTTCTCAATGCACGCGGTGATGAGCTGAAGTACTTCCAAGTAGACAGCCAGCAACATGTCTCTACGATTACGAATGTAACCAAGTGCCTTATGTATATTGCAGTTCAGGAAAATGCACGTGTCGATCCAACTTCTCTGTCAACTACTATCAGACCTGTCCAGGAATCGTTGAAAAACATCGGCACCAATGACTCATCATCGCTGTCCTTCATCGTTGAACATTGTCACCCATCTCTTCATCCTCATCCTCTGACAGCATGCTATCCTCCAAATCCCTATCTCCATGTAATCAAAATGCGCGCCCTGTGACATCACAAACAAAGAACTGTTTGCAACCCCTAACTGACAAAAGTCCAACTGCGACGCATAGTCGAACACGCATCGCAGAGCGGAAGAATGGATTGAACAACTGTTTATTGTATCGTTGCGAACAAGTTGTTTGCAAGATACGTAACACTGATCTCACTAAGGATAACCCAGGGATTGTCCTATGCAAGGGAATAGTGGTCAATCATCGAAATAAAATGTTTGTCTGATTGGACAATGAGTGAACACCGTGTCGGTGAACACCTCAAGACCTACAACATCCATGTCCGTGTGCAGGATGTTATCGGGAGCGCGGGTGGCGGTTGTGAGCATGCCTTCTGTGACCGACAGGTCGAGGTAATCATCGAACACTCCCGACAATGGTGTCGGCTGACAGTTGAAGTCACCCAAGACTATGACATGGTGGACGTCGTCATGTACATCATTAAAGTGGCTGGTGGTGGTTGTGGAGTTAGAATCATGTCGGCTACAACAACAGCACTGGCGCTCAAACACGAGTGAGAACTTACTCTGAAATTAGTTGGCGAGCCAGTGCTCTCCCGGATTTGTGTGGCAAATGAGCTGCAATCACTTGGTAGGACAATCCATCAAGTCCGAACAATCGGAATGATTGGAACTTTCCCATACCAGACACCACCACTCCATAATCGGTGTCCATGACAAATAAATTATTGTCATAAGTGGTGACAATGAAGTCTCTGCCACGCAAGTTGTTGGATATGGGTGTATGGTGGGGAAGGCGAGCGTCGAGATGATTAGCGAAGGTGGAGCCCGACACCTCGGTCAGGGTTGATATTGATGCAGTATCAACATCAATGTTGTTGACAACATAGTCGGCGAGTAGCGGGAACGCGTTGACAGTCGGGTGACGATTGGTGGCATCCAGGTTGGCGGTTTGGACATTAAACATATTGGATAATAATGGAGATAGGTAAGATATAGTTGACTAGCGGGATGGAAATAAATGAGGGAATGAATAACTGATGAATGAATGAATGAATGAATATATGCTGCTTAAGCAGAAGCTGTATTTATTGCTTTCTCTTCTCACACAATCGCTTGAAGTGATGTGACAAGAAATATGTTAGATTGGGAATGATTGATGAAAGTGTGAACATCACACAACTAAGAAATATGTTAGATTGGGAATGATTGATGAAAGTGTGAACTTCACCTTTCAATCATCCAGTCACCGAAAAGAGATAACCTTTTTTTGAGATCCCACACCAACGCATTGATTATTTTCATGTCCACCTGTAACACAGATAGAGATGTCTTCAACACAATATTATCTCAACATTCTCAATTCGATATTCCTCCCCAATGGGTTGCTCTATCTCCCGCTGACACTGAACTTCAATACATTCCAAGAGGCGCTCAACCGCAGCAAGTGCCAATACCACGACGATCTGATCAAGATCATCAAGAGTTGCTCTCGCTTCACAGACAAGAATCCTGGCCACACAGAACTCAAGTATCATATAAGCACGATTATCGCGATCAGAAACAAAACGGTGCACTCACTGTTCATGAACACTCCTGAGTGTGTTCGTAAATTAGTTGAGTCGCTCAACCACCTCAATCTCGCAATCAACGGCACACAGCCATTCAACGAACTGCTCTCGACCATTGAACTCTTGGTACACTCTTACAAACAAGCCCAGGCTCTAAAAAAGAAGATTTTATTGCCTCAAGACCATCAAGACTCCGATGAGATCGAGAACGCAAACAGTAATAGCTACAGCAATGACAACAGCCATCAGTCTGATCTGGATCACAATGATACATCACTTTTCCAAGACGATCAGTCAGATGTGGCAGATACAGAGAACAGCGAGACTCCTCCCTCCTCAGCTGCAGCAATGCAGAAACACCCTTCACAACTCAGAGCATTGCATCCTCACGTCGATCTCTATTCAAATGTCCAATATCAACCTCCTTCTATGAATAGAGCCGTTGCTCCACCTCAATCTCAGAGTGGCATCAATATCTTGCACGAAACTGCATACTCATCAAAGATGCCATCATTCCCTGGTGCCCCACACCATCCCGCCTCTCCCTTGAAAGATCTCAGAGATGTAATCGGAAAGGGAAGCAGAGTTATTGTGAAAAGTGGCAAGTGGTCTGGACACATTGGCACATTCTTAAAGTGGAACGGCTCCAATGCCTACTTCAATTTGGAGGGACAACCAGAAAAGAAAGCACTTGGCCTGTCCATCTTAGTCCAAGTCATCCAATAAATTACCATCATTTAGTCAGTGTTACTCAACCATGACCTTAACTATTAAACCTGTAACCAAACCTCAACCTTCACCATCCCAACCCACAAGTGGGGACTGGACCTGAACAAGGTTATTGTTTATTGATAACTGGGATGATAGTGATCACTTAATTGATGAGCCGATCAATTATGGAGAATACATGGGTGGTTGGAGATGGGGTGGATGATGATGTTGGCATTGTGGCCAGAGGAGACCTAGTCGTCAAGATGAAGCTGTAAGTAGGAGCGAATTGTCATTGAACCATCGACCAGATATCCCTTCATCGAGCAGCGGTTCATTGTGATAAGGTCTAGTCCACTTCTGAACTCGCGATGAAAGGCCGACGATGCCTGGACATAGAGAGGAAGTCAAGTGCCATCCTGGAGAGTACAGGGTACGCCTTCTGGTGATTGCCCCACCATTGGACTACATCCACCTCCTCTACCCTGTCGCGCAAGAAGGTAGCGAGCATCTGGAGTGAGTGGAAGCATACACATCGTTAGTAATTTGATCATCTGATTCCAGAGTGATGTTGTGGATGTTGTGGATGTTGTGGATGTTGTGGATGTTGTGGATGTTGTGGATGTTGTGGATGTTGTGGATGTTGTTGATGTTGTTGGTCACTGCGTGATGGAGGATTTATCAAATCAGTTATTGATAGCTTATTAATAAACAATGTTCACTAGAAATATTTGTAACAAATCGGACACCAGCACGCAATGATCGTAGTGAAGTTGCTTCAGTTCTTCCTTGCTGAGTGTGGTGGCCATTTGAACGGCAATGTTGTAGAATGGCCGAGAGACAGGGGGCTGGATCGGTCGTTCTGGTTGCTCATTTGATCTCCAACCGGTTGACACGGTCGCATTGACGAACTTGGCTGAATGGAAGAACTCATACACTGCACCATTGAGAGTAAACACTCTCGTGGTCTTCCTTGGCAGCCGCTGCGAACGTTTGGAGTGTTGTCAAGCTGTGTGTGCAGTCCTTCCTTATGGCAGCTGTGTATGTGCATAGAAAGCTCTTTGCGTTGGAGCAAGCATTATGTGTGAGAACCCGCTGTCAAACACCCAGTGCTGGCTGGGATGTTTCCTCCTGACTATATCAAGGATTCCATCCTTCAAATACTCTGCCGGTGTGCGAATGTTCAAATAGTGCTTGAACTGCCATGTGACTGGTATCGGGAGCTGAAGGCGCTGACATCCTTGATACAGAATGACGCCCTCTGGGTACGGCTTTGGCGGGATGATGGTCTTGATATGATATTGGCATCTCTACCGAAATATGAGAGCAACGACTCGATACCGAGAGAGATTTATCGATAGTCTACATTGTAGTTGTTGTTGTGGGCATGAGTTAGGAATACAGCTGAGGCAACGACAACCACTTCAGGAATTCCTCACCCAGGGGAAGGCCGAAAAGGGTACTGCTCACTCCGGAGAACCCCCTTGTCGCAATTACAAACAATTCCAAACAAATCCAAATAAGCAAACGACACACATAAAGGTATTGGACTTGTGTTTGTTGTTCATTATTATACATGTTGATTTAGTTGTAAATGCTCTGGCTTGATGGATGGGCACAGTCTCAATGGAGGTCTCCAAGACCTTGCGACATTGGCATTGGTAGCAGCTGAAGAGATAGATGCTGACAGAGTGATGGCAGCTGAGGATATCGACATTGAAAGAGTGACGCCAGCTGAAGAGATCGATGCTGACAGAGTGATAGCCTGGAGAGTACGGTGGTGAGACTGAGGAGCAGCCTCTGTGCTTTGCTTATCCTCTGCAAACGTTGCGTAACCAGATAGCAACAACAACACAGCCAGTGGTCTTAAGCAACATACCATACTCATCACGAGGTGGCCAAGTGGCGATGACGACGGAGATGACGATGATGACGACCAGAATGATGACGACGACCATGATGAATACGACCATAACGATGATGATGACAGTGACGACAAGTACATTAGCCAGAGGATTAGACTGTTATCGCGATCAGCTGTTGGCAGTGTTGGCTTTGACGATGATGATGATGATGACCATGACTACCAGGATGATGATGACCATGATGATAACGACTACCAGTATGATGACGACGACCAGGATGATGGAGAGGAAGATAACAGCGATACCGAGGACGATGATGACACTGCCATCATTGATAAGATCGAACCGCCTGTCAAACAGAGCTGCGGTGTGTCATTGAAAGCGAGACACTCAAGGTTGCCAGGCGATGACAAACCGATGCCTTTGGAGTACCGCTTCAGCAAGGCCAAGCCCACTTATTCGCAGAACCTCAAGCTTGCAGCTATAGTTACTAACAAACAGTTTATGGATCTAATAGAGTCAGAGGAAGAGAGGGTAAGTTACAGTACTGTCGTCGATTGGCAGATAGGTGGTGCTAACGCCAACCTTTCCGACATCACCCATCAACAGGAGCAAGTGTTGAAGTTGTGGAGACAGTTGCACAAACTTACTGTCATTGCTTTGGATCCTGATTTGAAGATAACTGCTGTTGCTGCGCGCGATTGACTTTCGCAGGGCTACGCCGCCTCTGACACCAGCTGAGGAGGAAGATGTGCTGCTCTTGCTACATAGAAGGTCGACAAAATATGTGCTCGAGTCGAGACGCGTGTCCATCAGACGGATCGATCGAAGATTGGTGTCGACAATTGTGAGGCTGGTGCCAGTCTTGACCATGTGCGCGGCCTGGATGTTGCTGATGATCAATGCAGAGATTGGATGGAGCACGTCGCCCCCATCAAGATGGACAGGCGCAACTCATTCAATGTGATGGCAATCGTGGTGTTGTGCTGTTGTTGTTGACGCTTGGTCGGGGCGTCGTCATTCTGTGTGTTAACCTCGCTCGATTGGCAACATCAAGGTGTATCGAACCATAAGATATTGGTTGGCTCGAGTCAAGGTAAGATTGATGACATCATGTTGGTCGATACTGTTATTGTTATTGTTATTGTTATTACTATTGTTGTTGTTGTTGTTGTTGTTGTTGGTTGGTGATGTTGACGCAGTGGATGTTGTTGTTGTTGTTGTTGTTGTTGTTGGCTGTGGATTGGTGCCATATGACGATATACTAAAGAAATTACTATCCACCGTTTCAAATGTAGGTTGACTGGCGCAAGTATTCTCTGTGAATTCCGACTCAGCTATTGCACATGGTTGGCTGGAGGTAACCAGGGGACCAACAACTCTCCGCTTTGGCCTGGATGGCCCATGCCACGTGAAATCTCGACGGGTACTCATGTATTTGTTATCTACAATTATTTATCTATATTTATATATACATGATCGGTACTGAGAAGCTGCTGCTCCTCATGATTGCCGCGTACATGCTGCAGACATCATACATGTAGAGAGGGCCAGTGTATGTGTCGGCGAACCTCAATGGTCCATTCGATGCCTTGGATATCCACTTGGCTTCCTCTTGCTCGATGATATCTGGAATGACATGCTTGTTGTACTTGCTGAATAGGTTGAGGGCGGCCTTGTTAATATTTGATCCTGTAAAGTACAAGTCGATGACGCCATTGGTACCTTCTTTGAGTGCGTCGGCGTCTTTGATGAAGTCCTCCCATGTCTCCTCCAGTGTCTTGATGGGCATCTTGCTCCTCTTCTTGGCTGCCTCCACCTTGATGTATCGACACTTGCCGTCGAACTTTTGTTTCTTGAGCTCATCGATGAGTGTCGCCTTGCTCATCGTGCTGTAGTTCGTGCCATCGTAGAGTTTAACTTGATCATTGTCGTCGTCGCGCGCACGCAATGATGGTTCAGATGTCCTTCTCGGGACATCTTCACCATCGTCCCACTTGTACGCCACTACTGGCAAGATCCTGTCATCGTGGTATCTCTTGAGGATGATGCCCTTGGGTTCAAATGCTCCCTCCTTGTCTAGGGTGTAGTGCTCATTGGTTAGTTTGAGATGGACGACTCGGACGTACTGTTTGGTTGATGTCTTGCAATAATCACCTTTGACATTGATGCGCATCTTGAGCTTGTCCTCGATCTCTGAACAGAGATTGAGAGGAACCTTGGCATCGCGCTCTAGTTTGAAGAATCGCTTGAAGATCCATGGCTTGCTAAAGTGCTTGGTTACCTTGTCTGGATAGGAGGCTTTGAGGCAGTCATAGAAACAGTCATTGTGTTTGCCATCACAGCCGCCTGCTCTGAGGTTAGGATGAATGATAAATATGTAGAACCCTTTGATCGTGAGGTCATCGAGAGGGACTCCATCATACTCGTCTGGGTTGAACAGACTGATTGCATCACCTGCCCTTGTGAACTTACCTGAGCGATATTGACGATTGGCATACTCGATCGCCACTTCGAGACGAGCAGCAGAGCCATCGAAATAGAGATCATCGCTGAGTTGTTGAGCAATCCTTCTTATTGTCTCTCGAGTGTATGCTCCAGCGTAATGTCTCATTTGACAGTCGAGGTTGTTGAGTCTTGTTGTGCTGTACGTTGCTGGCATGTTATAACTTTACTAGAGATAATAAACTTATATCATTTAGAATTATTTGTTGGTCATCAACTGTTTGTGAATGTAGCCCTGCTTGTGTCGATTGAGATTGGTGCGACCCACTTCAAAGCCACACTCACACTTGACCTTTTCTTTGATGTAGGCCTTGTGGCGTTCTCTGAACTCCGGGTCTGATTGGTAATGATGTTTGATTGATGGCATTCTTATATCTGTTGGAGAAAAAAAAAGGAAGAAATGAAAAAGAAAACAATCACATATTTTATAGTGGTCTGGAGACCTTGGCTATTAATTTAACTAATCACCACAAAGTCATAACAGATACAACCTCACTCCTTATTACTCAGCAACATATCATAATGAACAACAAACCAGACCTTGATGCTCAACAACAACATAACATAAATTTGTTGTCGATTGGCACACACAAACACATCACATTCACAAATATGTCTCAACTAGTGGCTAACAAACAACATGACGCGTTCTGGTACCTGGTCATAAATGGCTATGGTCATTCAAACACTCTAAATCCCCAAGAGTTATCCAATGACCAACACATATATCTGCGGGCGACAGTACCGGCGTCTCTGATTTACAGTTACTTCCTCATCAACTCTCAAGCGTTGATGCCCTATTTGAGCCCATCGAAACCTCTTTCAGTCACATTGTTTTCAGCAGATAGCGATCTGGTCAATGAATTTCTTCTTACCAACTCAAAGGAGAGCGCGATCGCCACCATAACTAAAGTTTCCTTCTGGTAACCAGATACAGAAGGCATAAAAGATCATGAACACCTTGCCAGAGTGTTTGAGGTTTGGAAATGCAACCAATAAATCCAACAATCACCCAAATCACTCACCACATCCTCTCAGGGAGTCTCAGGGAAGATCCAAACTCCAAAAAAGAGTAACAGTGTCCAAACAGGGAGCCAGGGAGTCGATGGTGGAAGAAATTTAAGAATCAAATAATTTCTTTCTATTATTAAAAAGTTTCCACCATTGACTCCCCAACCTCCCTATGTCGATACACATCCTCTTTTCCCCAATTTCCCTATCCCTATCCCCCTCCCTTCCTTCCCCAAGTTGCGACAGATACACTTTATTATTCCCTCCCTATTCCCCTCCCCATCCTCCCCAATTGTTTTACCAGATCCTCTTATTATTATTATTATTATTATTATTATCCTCCCTAGACTCCCCAAAAGAAATATAAAAGAATATAAAAGAGTAATTGGAAGTAAATAATGGAATCGGCGCAGCCGATGCAATGTTGGATAGGGGCCCCCTGAGTTATACACACACTCAACGTGTACTGGTCCATTTTCTACAAACGAATACCAACTTCAAGATTGTATCACTGCCGATATTGGATCATCATCTGTTCAGATTTGTTCTTGATCATGCTGTAGAATGCAAGGCTACATCTAATAAACATATTTGTCATATGTTTTCAACATGTTAACGGCGTTAACGCGCAAGTTCAAATCAATCTCTATGAACAATTTCAGTTGTCTGTTAACCATGACTTCGGTCGATTTGCATTTAAAGTATTACTCTCCTCGAACAATGTGGAATTTGTTGTTGAACCAACCAATTTGTAAGGCTTGAAATTGGTCATATTATAATCCCAACAAATTCAATTCTGTGCGAGGTGGGGATTCAGTTTATATGAGCGAGGTCCATCCCACGCACAAGTGCACAATAAATAAAATGAGTGTTTGGCATCTCAAAAGAGACATTTTGACTCAAAGTCAACAAAACTGTATGTATATTTTGAGATATTGATTGATCAATTAATAAATAATTATGGTTTGGTCGTATAATAATACAAATGATTGTTATGGATATAGATCTTGATGTAGATTATTGTGGTATTTATTATTTATTTAATTTATAATTTTGGAGTACATTGGACAAATATTTCTTAGATATCACCGACAGCGGTGTGTTGGCTTGGATGGAAGCGAACTCAGAGTCGTATATAGTGATGGTGGACTCTGCCAACTGGTTGTACCATTTCCTTGGAGATTGTTTTGAGGCATCGTTGGACTTGGCCCTCTTCAATGGTTGAATGGTTGGACGATCACCCTCTATGGTTGCACTGATCGCGTCTATGTTTGGTACCATTCCTCCCGACAGGTACGAGTCTATCAACAATGATTGCATAAACTCTGGAGTGAAGCGATGATTGGATCCATCCACGATCTCTTTGACGACCTTGTGTCTATTCTCTAGGCCAAAGTTTGCTAGGCGATCCAACGACCCATACTTATGTAAGAATGCTCCAACGTGTAGAACCTGTGCATGGATATAGGAGGTAACAACTTTTCCAAACAAGTTGACATAGTTATTACCAAATGGGATGGAGTAGGACAGGTATAGGTCCTCAGTGATTCTGTATTGATTGGTCTGTGCCATAAACACCAAGAAAGTGTATTGTTTCCACAACACATTGAGCTGTAACTGAAGGTTAGCGCAGTGTAACAATGAAATGGTAGAGTGACTGTGTATACTAACCTTCTGGACCTCTAGATTGGCGACACTGTAGGGTAGACCCTCAATCCTCTTCCTCAAATCTTGTGACTGAGTAAT